TCTTCCTCCCTCCCTCCTTCCCTCCCTCCCTCCCTCCCTCCCTTCTTCCCTCCCTCCCTCCCTCCCTCTCTCCCTCCCTCTCTCCCTTCTTCCCTCCCTCCCTCCCTTCTTCCCTCCCTCCCTTCCTTCCTCCCTCCCTCCCTCCCTCTCTCCCTCCCTCCCTTCTTCCCTCCCTCCCTCCCTCTCTCCCTCCCTCCCTTCTTCCCTCCCTCCCTCCCTCCCTCTCTCCCTCCCTCTCTCCCTCCCTCCCTCCCTCCCTCCCTCCCTCTCTCTCTCTCCCTCCCTCCCTCCCTTCTTCCCTCCCTCTCTCCCTCCCTCCCTCCCTCCCTCCTCTCTTCCTCCCTCCCTCCCTCCCTCCCTCCCTCCCTCCCTTCTTCCCTCCCTCCCTCCCTCCCTCCCTCTCTCCCTCCCTCTCTCCCTTCTTCCCTCCCTCCCTCCCTTCTTCCCTCCCTCCCTTCCTTCCTCCCTCCCTCCCTCCCTCTCTCCCTCCCTCTCTCCCCCCTCCCTTCTTCCCTCCCTCCCTCTCTCCCTCCCTCCCTTCTTCCCTCCCTCCCTCCCTCTCTCCCTCCCTCCCTCCCTTCTTCCCTCCCTCTCTCTCTCTCTCCCTCCCTCCCTCCCTTCTTCCCTCCCTCTCTCCCTCCCTCCCTCCCTCCCTCCCTCCCTCCCTCTCTTCCTCCCTCCCTCATTCCCTCCCTCCCTCCCTCCCTCCCTTCTTCCCTCCCTCCCTCCTCCCTTCTTCCCTCCCTCCCTCCCTCCTCCTCCCTCCCTCCCTTCCCTCCCTCCCTCCCTTCTTCCTCCCTCCCTCCCTCCCTCTCTCCCTCCCTCTCTCCCTCCCTCCCTCCCTTCTTCCCTCCCTCTCTCTCTCTCTCCCTCCCTCCCTCCCTCCCTCCCTTCTTCCCTCCCTCTCCCCTCCCTCCCTCCCTCCCTCCCTCCCTCTCTCCTCCCTCCTCCTTCCCTCCCTCCCTCCCTCCCTTCTTCCCTCCCTCCCTCCCTCCCTCTCTCCCTCCCTCTCTCCCCTTCTTCCCTCCCTCCCTCCCTTCTTCCCTCCCTCCCTTCCTTCCTCCCTCCCTCCCTCTCTCCCTCCCTCCCTTCTTCCCTCCCTCCCTCCCTCTCTCCCTTCTTCCCTCCCTCCCTCCCTCTCTCCCTCCCTCTCTCCCTCCCTCCCTCCCTTCTTCCCTCCCTCTCTCTCTCTCTCCCTCCCTCCCTCCCTTCTTCCTCCCTCTCTCCCTCCCTCCCTCCCTCCCTCCCTCTCTTCCTCCCTCCCTCATTCCCTCCCTCCCTCCCTCCCTTCTTCCCTCCCTCCCTCCCTCCCTCTCTCCCTCCCTCTCTCCCTTCTTCCCTCCCTCCCTCCCTTCTTCCCTCCCTCCCTTCCTTCCTCCCTCCCTCCCTCCCTCTCTCCCTCCCTCTCTCCCTCCCTCCCTTCTTCCTCCCTCCCTCCCTCTCTCCCTCCCTCCCTTCTTCCCTCCCTCCCTCCCTTCCTTCTTCCCTCCCCCCTCCCTTCTCCCTCCCTCCCTCCCTCCCTTCTTCCCTCCCTCCTCCCTCCCTCCCTCCCTCCCTCCCTCCCTTCTTCCCCCCTTCCCCCCCCCCTCTCCCCTCCCTCCCTCCTCTTCCCTCCCTCCCTCCCTCCCTCCCTCCCTCCCTCCCTCCCTCCCTCCCTCCCTCCCTCCCTCCCTCTCTCCCTCCCTCCCTTCTTCCCTCCCTCCCTCCCTCTCTCCCTCTCCCTCCTCCCTCCCTCCCTCTCCCTCCCTCTCTTCCCTCCCTCCCTCCCTCCCTCCCTCCCTCCCTCCCTCTCTTCTTCCCTCCCTCCCTCTCTCCCTCTCCCTCCCTCCCTCCCTCCCTGTCTCCCTCCCTCCTCTCCCTCCCTCCCTGTCTCCCTTCCCCTCCCTCCCTCCCCTCCCTCCCTTCTTCCTCCCTCCTCCCTCCCTCCCTCCCTCCCTCCTCCCTTCCTCCCTCCCTCCGTCTCCCTTCTCCCTCCCCTCCCTCCCTTCTCCCTCCCTCCCTCTTCCCTTCCTCCCTCCTCCTCTCCCTCCCTCCCTCCCTTCTTCCCTCCCTCCCTCCCTCTCTCCCTTCCTTCCTCCCTCCCTCCCTCCCTTCTTCCCTCCCTCCTCCTTCCCTTCCTCCCTCCCTCCGTCCTCCCTCCCTCCCTCTCTCCCTCCTCCCTTCTTCTCCCTCCCCTCTCCCTTCCTCCCTCCCTTCTCCCTTCCTCCCTCCCTCCCTCCCTTCTTCCCTCTCTCTCCCCTCCCTCCCTCTCTCCCTTCCTCCCTCCCTTCTTCCTTCCCTCCCTCCCTTCCTCCCTCCCTCCCTTCCTCCCCTTCTTCCTTCCCTCCCTCCCTTCCTTCCTCCCTCCCTCCCTTCCTCCCTTCCTCCCCTCTTCCCTCCCTCCCTTCTTCCCTTCCTCCCTTCTTCCTTCCCTCCCTCCCTCCCTTCCTCCCTCCCTCCCTTCCTCCCTCTTTCCCTCCTCCCTTCTTCCTTCCCTCCCTCCCTTCCTTCGTCCCTCCCTCCCTCCCTCCTCCCTCCCTCCCTTCTTCCCTCCCTCCCTCCTTCCCTTCCTCCCTCCCTCCGTCACTCCCTCCCTCCCTTCTTCTCTTCCTCCCTCTCTCCCTCCCTCCTCCCTTCTTCCCTTCCTCCCTCCCTCCCTCCCTTCTTCCCTCTCTCCCTCCCTCCCTCTCTCCCTTCCTCCCTCCCTTCTTCCTTCCCTCCCTTCCTTCCTCCCTCCCTCCCTTCCTCCCTTCTTCCTTCCCTCCCTCCCTTCCTTCCTCCCTCCCTCCCTCCCTTCCTCCCTTCTTCCCTTCCTCCCTCCCTCCCTCCCTTCTTCCCTCCCTCCCTCCCTCCCTCTCTCCCTTCCTCCCTCCCTTCTTCCTTCCCTCCCTCCCTTCCTTCCTCCCTCCCTCCCTTCCTCCCTTCTTCCTTCCCTCCCTCCCTCCCTCCCTTCCTCCCTCCCTCCCTTCCTCCCTCTTCCCCCCCTCCCTTCTTCCCTTCCTCCCTCCCTCCCTCCCTCTCTCCCTCCCTCCCTCCCTCCCTCCCTTCCTTCGTCCCTCCCTCCCTCCCTTCTTCCCTCCCTCCCTCCTTCCCTTCCTCCCTCCCTCCGTCACTCCCTCCCTCTCTCCCTCCCTCCCTTCTTCCCTTCCTCCCTCCCTCCCTCCCTCTCTCCCTCCCTCCCTTCTTCCCTTCCTCCCTCCCTCCCTCCCTCCCTTCTTCCTTCCCTCCCTCCCTTCCTTCCTCCCTCCCTCCCTTCCTCCCTCCCTCCCTTCCTCCCTCTCTCCCTCCCTCCCTTCTTCCCTTCCTCCCTCCCTCCCTCCCTCTCTCCCTCCCTCCCTCCCTCTTTCCCTTCCTCCCTTCTTCCTTCCCTCCCTCCCTCCCTCCCTCCCTCCCTCCCTCCCTCCCTCTTTCCCTCCCTCCCTTCTTCCCTTCCTCCCTCCCTCCCTCCCTCTCTCCCTTCTTTCCTTCCTCCCTCCCTCCCTTCCTCCCTTCTTCCTTCCCTCCCTCCCTCCCTCCCTCCCTCCCTCCCTCCCTCTTTCCCTCCCTCCCTTCTTCCCTTCCTCCCTCCCCCCTCCCTCTCTCCCTCCCTCCCTCCCTTCCTTCATCCCTCCCTCCCTCCCTCCCTCCCTCCCTTCTTTCCTCCCTCCCTCCCTCCCTCCCTTCTTCCTTCCCTCCCTCCCTCCCTTCCTTCCTCCCTCCCTCCCTTCCTCCCTCTCTCCCTCCCTCCCTTCTTCCCTCCCTCCCTCCCTTCCTCCCTCCCTTCTTCCCTTCCTCCCTCCCTCCCTCCCTCCCTTCTTCCTTCCCTCCCTCCCTCCCTTCCTTCCTCCCTCCCTCCCTTCCTCCCTCTCTCCCTCCCTCCCTTCTTCCCTTCCTCCCTCCCTCCCTCCCTCCCTCCAGGACTCCTCTTGTCTTCAGGACAGTGTTTTCCTGGAGGAGGAAAATGTCCGTGTTGGTTTGTTGTTTGCCTCTAAAGCTTTGGTCCAGCTGCTGGTCAACCCGTTTGTTGGTCCGCTCACTAACAGGTATTATTACCACATTAATAAACCTTTTATCGATTATAGAAACCTTTTAACCTGTTATTAAGCTGTCTTAACAGTTTTTAGCTCTTTATCTGCTTTTCATTCGTCGTTTAATTGTTGTCTATTAACTGTTCTTTGCTTGTCTGTGAAGTTGCTCTGCTGTTTGCCATTTATTAGTCATTGTTCTGCTGTTCATCATCTTTTTGTCTTCTGTTTATTATTTGTTCATTAATTAGCTGTTTATAATTCTGTGAAAACTTGCCAGTTTATGGCTCTGACTCTGTTGAGTCAAACTGGGTCCGCGTTCCCTCATCATGTCCTTGTGTGTCTGCAGGATCGGCTACCACATCCCCATGTTCGCAGGATTCATCATCATGTTTGTTTCCACCATCAGTGAGTTTTTCCACTCAGCCTCAGTCCAGCCTCCTGCTTCCAGGTGTCTCTGACTCCAGGTCCCTGTCAGTGTTTGCTTTCTCAGGGTCGTACGCGCTGCTGTTCTTCGCTCGCTCTCTGCAGGGAATCGGATCGTCCTTCTCGTCTGTGGCGGGTCAGAACCAACAAACACGGACAGCAATTAGCCGCCTGTTAAGTTAAACTATAAAACATTTGGGATCCGTTAGATGAAACCGTAGGTCAGAGGTCACAGAACAGAACGTTAGAGATGGGTGCAGTTCTCACCCTGAACACTAGATGTCAGCGTTGGTTCAACAAACTCCTCACTGCTCTGGTTTCACCTGCAGGTCTGGGGATGTTGGCCAGCGTCTACACCGACGATGACGAGCGAGGCGTGGCGATGGGCGTCGCCCTGGGGGGGCTCGCCATGGGAGTCCTGAGTGAGACACACACACACACACACACACACACACACACACACACACACACACACACCAGGTGTGTTCCACTGCGTCATGCTGCCTGTGTTTCAGTCGGAGCGCCGTTTGGCAGCGTGATGTACGACTTTGTGGGGAAGAGCGCCCCCTTCCTCATCCTGGCCTTCCTGGCTGTGTTTGATGGAGGTAGGAAGTGGCAGAAGGAAGTGGAGCCCCCTTCTGGTGGGACAGTTAATGATCAGGTGTTTCTGTGTGTTGCAGCTTTGCAGCTGTGCATCCTGCAGCCTTCTAAGATCTGCCCTGGGGTGAGTCTAGCATTGATCCACCTGCCCCGGTCCACCTGCCCCGGTCCACCTGCCCCAGTCCACCTGCCCCAGTCCACCTGCCCCGGTCCACCTGCCCCAGTCCACCTGCCCCGGTCCACCTGCCCCAGTCCACCTGCCCCAGTCCACCTGCCCCGTCCTCCTGCCCCAGTCCACCTGCCTGCCCTGTTCTCCTCCTCTCCTTCTGTTAGCTTCTGGGCTTTTCCCCAGTTCTGTTCTGGTTCTGTTGGTTCTGACCCGGTTGGGTTTGTGTGTTTCAGAGCGTGGAGGGAACGCCGCTACTGACCCTCCTGAAAGACCCGTACATCCTGATCAGCGCAGGTAGAAACGCTCTGGTCCATCAGCTGCGTCTCAGCAGGACTCTGTCCAACTGTCCGTCCCTCTGCAGGGTCTCTGTGCTTCGCCAACATGGGCGTGGCCATCCTGGAGCCCACGCTGCCCATCTGGATGATGCAGACCATGTGTTCCCCCAAGTGGCAACTGGGTACGACAATCTGGCCAGTCGGAGCTCGGTTTGCGGCCGGAGAGCTCTGATTGGCCGTCGGCTGTCGTCCTTGTGTTGCAGGAATGGCCTTCCTCCCGGCCAGCGTCTCCTACCTGATCGGAACCAACCTGTTTGGACTTCTGGCCAACAAGATGGGACGGTCAGTACCAGAAATCCTGGTTCTGAACTGCTGGTTGTGATGGTCACTTGAACTGGAAGCCCAAACAATGAAAGAGACCTGACCCGGTTCTGGCCCAGTTTTGACCCGGTTCTGGTCCAGTTATGTCCCAGTTCCGACCCAGTTCTGGCCCGATTCTGACCCAAGTTTGATCCAGTTCTGGCCCGGTCCTGGCCCAGTTGTGGCCCGGTTCTGACCCAGTTCTGGCCCGGTTCTGTCCCAGGTTTGATCCATTTCTGGCCCAGTCCTGGCCCGGTTCTGGCCCAGTTCTGGCCCGGTTCTGACCCGGTTCTGTCCCAGTCCTGGCCCGGTTCTGGCCCAGTCCTGGCCCGGTTCTGGCCCGGTTCTGCCCCGACCCGGCTGGTTTCAGGTTCTGTGTGTCTGCAGGTGGCTCTGCTCCATGGTGGGAATGTTCGTCGTGGGCGTCAGCCTGCTGTGTGTGAGTCCGAGCTCCGCCCATCGGTTACCATGGCAACAGCACAAACGCAGGTTAACGCCTCGTCGTCCATCTTGTCTCCCCCAGGTTCCCTTCGCCACCAGTATCTACGGTCTGATTGGTCCAAACGGCGGCCTGGGCTTTGCTATCGGTGACCTTGACCTCCTGACCTTCTGAGCTGACGCGACGTCTCTCGGTGTGCCGCTGTGATTACGTGTGTTTTGCTCCTCCAGGGATGGTGGACTCCTCCATGATGGCCATCATGGCGTACCTGGTGGACATCCGCCACGCCTCGGTGTACGGCAGCGTGTACGCCATCGCCGACGTGGCGCTCTGCATGGGCTTCGCCGTCGGTAACGGCTCCGGGAGGACAACATGGCGGAGCCACAGACTTCCCGCCGAACTCACCGTCTCCCCTCTGCTGTTCCAGGCCCGTCCACCGGGGGCGCTCTGGTCCAGGCGGTGGGCTTCCCCTGCCTCATGGTGTTCATCGGGGTGATCAACATCCTGTACGCGCCGCTCTGCTTCCTGCTGCGAAACCCGGCGGTTCGGGAGGAGAAGATGGTAACTATGGCAACCGGAGATGGAGGTCTGCGATTGGCCGATTCGCTGTAATCCTCTGGTTCTGGTTCTGGTTCTGGTTCTGGTGGCGTTCCTCAAGGAGTAGCCTCTCCTAGTTTCCTGGTTGGGTGATGACCAGACGTCGCTGCAGCTCCGCCTTGTTGTGTTTCAGGCGATCATCGACCAGGAGCGCGTGACGCGCCGCAGGAGCTACAGCGCAGACCGGCGCCACTTTCCTCTCAGCGAAGACGAAGACGAGGAGGAGGAGGAGGAGACGGAGGAGTGAGCCGCTCGTCTTCCCGCTTCCTGTCCGGCCGGCTCGCTTCCGGTTCCTTGTGTTGTTTTGTGTTTGTGCAAAAATAACAGGCCGTTTCAACAGGCTCACGTCTCCTGTCGTCTCTGAGCCGAACGCGTCTCGCCGGGTTCGGTCCGGTACCGGGTCCGGTTCAACTTAAAGCAGTCAGGATCTCAGCGCAACATTTTGAACATCCTGACATGCAGAATCCAGTTTCAGGAACCAGAAAATGTTTCTGCAAAAATAATTTTATGTTGGTTTTTATTTTTTAAATTTTAGTGACTCCTTTCATTCAGGGTCAAAGGTCAGCATGCTGTGGCTGGACAGGTCGACTGTCCCTGCAGGACACCTGTGTGTGTTTTAATCTGGTGATGCTACACACACACACACACACACACAGACACACACAGACACACGCAGACACACACACAGACACACACTCACACACACACAGACACACACACTCACACACACAAACACACACACACACACACACATGCACTCACACACACAAACACACACACACTCACACACACACACACAGACACACTCACACACACAGACACACACAGACACACACAGACACACACACACACTCACACACACTCACACACATACACACACACACACAGACACACACACACACACACTGCAGTTCGCCTGCAGAGCCATTAAAAACAATTAGATAAATTGATTCTTTATTGATCCCAAATGAAATGTTGCTCATGTTGCAGAAGCTGAAGGTCCGATTTGCTGCAGAACCGAGTTTATGCTGGTAGAACCAGAAAATAATCAAACTGACCTCATTCTGAACGAAGCTGCTCCTGATTGGCCTGTTTTCTGTTTACAATAAATAATATTTAGGTTGATATATTATTTCTACTTCAATGGATTTTATTTTCAAGTCAACATTAATGAGATGAATTCGCTTACTGAACATAAATACTCTCATCACTTCATAAAGTTGGTTCTGCTGTAGAAATGTTGCTTAGTTTCCATTTTTACTGAATCAAGAGGAAATAAAGTGATTCTGCTCGTCGTGTCTCCATGTTGCTTCTTTATTCTGATCATCCAACTGGTGCTGAAAATCTTCCCACGAAACAAACTATTTTTCTCCAAAATATGTTGCTGGCAGCAGTTTGGCAGAAATCTGAATCTTTGACTTTCCGGTTGGACTGCACCGCTCCTGCTGGAATGAGCGCCACCTGCTGGACAAACAGAAGAACCGAACCCAGGTGGCTGGAAGTCCACGGGAAATATTGATTTCTATGCAGTTTTTTACATTTTAGGTTTATTTCAGGGCAATAAAAAAATAAACTTTTTACTAAAACTCCATATTTTCTGTTAACCTGATCTGTATAAAGACCAAATGGTTTAAAAATACAAAACAAATAAAATATTTACAGAATTTCGTCATAGATTATATTTAATACGTTAAAGTTTATAATAATAATTAGTTGATGGCCTCAGCTGGACCGTTTTCATAAAGGTTCTGTTCAAATCCTGACCCGGTCCCCGAGCAGAACAAGAACCTTCTGCTCGTGTTTCCTCCGGAACTCCAGGGGGCGGCACAGCGCCCCTCCTTCACCCGGAAGTTTTCACCGGAAGTTCCCGCCAGCTGCATGTTCGGCCCGGCCAGCAGAAACCGAACTGAAGCCGAACCGGAGCAGCTTCTGGTTCCGTGGATCCCAGGTCAGTTAGTCCAGCAGGATCCGGTTCATTTCGTTCTTTTGACCCGTTCAGTTCTGACCCTTCAGATCCGGACCGGTACCACGTCATGCAGGTTTTAATGAGCCTCAGGAACGAAACGGCTTCATTCCTCCTGGTGCGGCTCGGTTCTGGTTCTGCAGAGCCTGAATGGGCTCCTGGTTCCGTTCAGTTGAAGCTGCAGGACTGGACCTGTTGTGTCTTTAGTCCAACATAAATAAAGATTCGACTCGGAGGTTCAAATGAACGTGACTTTTATGATATTCACTTCAGTGTCGAATACAACATATCAATGCGCAGGCGCATAACATAGAAGGCAACTCAGCAAAAAGGGGAGTGGCTCCGCTAAAGCAAATAGATCCACTATATATTCTACAGGACCGGAGCTCCAGAACCCGACCAGAACCCCTCATGGGAATAATCAGATGAAATATAAAACTTAGAAGCCAAACATGAAACGGATCAGAACCGGTCCGGCTCGGTCCATTTTCTCCCTGGTTTATTCATTTTGCTGGTTTTCATCAGTTTTGTGTTTATCTTCTGTTTTCCTGTCAGGATGGAGCTTCCGCCTCTTCTTCATGACCTTCATCTCTCCTCCTCCCCCTCCTCCTCAAAGAGGACACGCCCCTCTGCTCCCCTCCCACCAATCACAGAGCTCCTCTCTGAGCTGCAGAAGAAGCTGATTGGTGTGGCTGAAAGCAGCGCTCTGATTGGCCAGGTTGAGCGTCTGTTCCAGACTGCAGATCCTGATTGGCTGTTCCCTCCGCTGTTGGATGAGCAGGTCAGCGAGTGGGCGGAGCTTCAGGCAGCGTACGCCTCCGTGATCACAGCTCTGATTGGCTGTGCCGCGCTGCCGCTCTGCCACGAGGACTGCGGCTCGTTAGACGCCTCGGCCTATCAGAGCATCCCAAAGCGCGCCGCCGCCGTAAGCTCCGCCCTCACAGCGCTGCTGGGGAACTGGAAGGAAGGGGGCGGAGCCAGAAGAGACAGGCTGCTCCTCGCTGTGGCTCCACCCATCTACCTGTTCTGTGTCACACATTTGCAGGTGAGTAACTGCTGACGTCAGCGTTGGTTCTGGTGGTTCTGCTGATTGGTTGAGCCAATCAACTCGGCCAATCAGGTTCATTGGTCGATGGTTCTGGTGGCTCCATCTCTGCAGGACGAGGTTTGGACCAGCGCCGCCTCCAGAACCGCGGCGCGGCGCCTTAAGGGGGCGCTGCTGAGGGCGGGCGGATGGAGAGACTCCGCCCACCTGCTGGCAGGGGAGGAGGAAGACAGATGCATTCTGGGAGGAGTCCTGGACGTCCTGCAGCCTCAGCTGACCAGGTGAGACCAGAACCTGTGACCCGGTTCTGGTCTCACCTGGCCGCTAACCGTTCAACTCACTTCCTGTTTGTGTTTCAGGGAGTCATGGCGACGGTGTGCCGCCTTGAAGCTGCAGTTCTCCTGGACGCTGCTGCAGGTTGGTCATCGCGTTGCCCTGGCAACAACCCTGTGACGTGATGATGACATCACGGTGCTGATAATTATTAAACATTTTAAAATAATTGAATAAAACATGAACATGTTTCTGAATATCCAGAATGTGAAATCAGTTTAAATCTGTTTATTAACCAATCAGATTCATTATAGATTCGTTATGTTCCTGCAATGCGCCACCTGCTGGCAGAAAGTGTTTCCTACGTGAAAGTGTGATCGGCCAATCACAGCTCTAATTTTCACAGGTGACCCGCCCCTTCCTGTCCCCCTTCCTGCATCGCCTCCTCCCCCCTTCGCTCCTCCTGAATGACGACTACAAGCCAGAGAACTGCATGCTGGGAGTTCGCTGTCTGCATCACATCGTTCTCAACACGGTCAGAACTTTTCCACCTGATCAGAACCAGAACCACGCAGCGGTCGGCTCACTTCAGCTAACAGGCTAATAGCACAGCGAAGATTTCAAGAAACTTTATCGAGCAAAAGGCAAATATAAGTGAACGGATGAGGCGCACAGAAGAAAACTAACAAACTGTTAATTAACAGTTAATTAACTGTTAGTTACCAGTTAATTAACTGTTAATTAACAGTTAATTACAAATTAATGTGAAATGTTTTGAGAGTCTCACGACACACAGAGGGTATCAGTATTGTTGAATGCAGTGCTTTAAGCACTAGCTTCCACTGAATAGCATGTTGGTATAGCGCCTTGTCGTTAGCGTCTCAGGTTTATGATGATGATGATGATGATGTCTGTGTCCAGCCAGCTGCAGACCTTCGTCAGTTTAACAGAGCCGAGGTTCTGTACCAGGCTCTGTTCAGACACCTGTACACGAGCGAGACCGGCGTCATCCAGGTAGCACACACACACACACACACACACACACACACACACACACACACACACACACACACACACACACACACACACACTGTCACACACACACACACTGACACACACTGTCACACACACACACACACTGACACACACACACACACTGACACACACACACACACTGACACACACACACACACACACACACACACACTGACACACACACACACACACACACACACTGACACACACACACACACTGACACACACACACACACACACAGACACACACTGTCACACACACTGACACACACACACTGACACACACTGTCACACACACACACACAATTACAATTTCTACAAACGTTAAATTTCTGCACACAAACTTTTTAACTACAACCTCACAAACCTTCTCCTGCGGCTGCAGATGTTGAATAAGAATGCACAAGTCGCACAAAACTGCATTTACGCTCAGATCCGGTTACGTTGCACAAAGACTTTTAGACTCATTTCACGCTGCAGCCCAGTCCAGATCTGTGTGCAAGTGTTGGTGATGTGTACTTTTGTCACTGCTTGTGCTGAAGAGGCAAAGAGAAACGGCCAAACGGAAAATTCTCACAAGGACATAAAAACCTGGTTCACACTCTCTCTGACCCACTCTGACCTCTGACCTGCAGCTCGTCCTCTCCTGCCTACTCGACCTGCTGCTGGTTCTGGAGAAGCCGCCATCTTCCGACTGCCGCAAGAAGCCATGTCGCCATGATGATGTGCTGCGTCTGGTTCTGACCCACATGGAGGCGGAGCAAAAGGTGGCGCTGCGGCGCGTCTATGCCTCGGCCCTGCCGCTCTACGTGGAGAGGTGCGTTTGATTCTTACACCATGACTCTGGATCAGAAACCGACCCAAACAGAACCAGACGAAAACAGTGGCCTGATGCTGTGATGTGTTCAGGGGGGCGTGGCCTGATGCTGTGATGTTTATGGTGGGCGTGGCCCGATGCTGTGATGTTTATGGTGGGCGTGGCCTGATGCTGTGATGTGTTCAGGGGGCGTGGCCTGATGCTGTGATGTTTATGGTGGGCGTGGCCTGATGCTGTGATGTGTTCAGGGGGGCGTGGCCTGATGCTGTGATGTGTTCAGGGTGGGCGTGGCCTGATGCTGTGATGTGTTCAGGGGGGCGTGGCCTGATGCTGTGATGTGTTCAGGGGGGCGTGGCCTGATGCTGTGATGTGTTCAAGGGGGCGTGGCCTGATGCTGTGATGTGTTCAAGGGGGCGTGGCCTGATGCTGTGATGTGTTCAGGGGGCGTGGCCTGATGCTGTGATGTGTTCAAGGGGGCGTGGCCTGATGCTGTGATGTTTATGGTGGGCGTGGCCTGATGCTGTGATGTGTTCAAGGGGGCGTGGCCTGATGCTGTGATGTGTTCAGGGGGCGTGGCCTGATGCTGTGATGTGTTCAAGGGGGCGTGGCCTGATGCTGTGATGTGTTCAGGGTGGGCGTGGCCTGATGCTGTGATGTGTTCAGGGTGGGCGTGGCCTGATGCTGTGATGTTTATGGTGGGCGTGGCCTGATGCTGTGATGTGTTCAGGGGGCGTGGCCTGATGCTGTGATGTTTATGGTGGGCGTGGCCTGATGCTGTGATGTGTTCAGGGGGCGTGGCCTGATGCTGTGATGTGTTCAGGGTGGGTGTGGCCGTGTGCAGGCACCTGCGGCGGCTGCTGCCGGTGCTGCTGGGTTACCTGGAGGTCGGGGATCCGCCGGAGGAGTCGGTTCGGCTGAAGATGCTGGAGGTTCTGCAGTCGACCATCAGGCTGGCGTGGCCACGGTAACGGGAAACTTGCCAGAGCGAGTTTTCTCTGAACGCCTGCCTCTAAAATCTGACCTCTGCCCCCGTCAGGATGGCGAGTCGTGCCGATGCGCTGCTGCGCTGTTTGCTGCGGCTGCTGGTCGACGTCTCTGCAGACCCAGGACTCAGCGACTCGGTCCGACTGCAGCTGATGGAGGGAAGCTCCGCCTCCCTGCGGCTGCTGGACGCTGCCACCCAGCGACGCGTTCAGGTGAGTCACCAGCTGGTGGCGCTGCATTGACGCATTTACAGAAATTAAACAGAAACGACAAACAACACATTTCTGTTAGTGTTTCTGTTTTTATCTAAAATAATAACAAAATTGATGTAGGTTGAAAATATTTATTATTTATGTGAAAATGTAATTTTAAAATTGTTTCTGTTTAATTCTATTGCGCCAATCACAACAAACGTCTCAAAGCAGTTTGCAAAAAATAATTTCAATTCAATCATCTGTACTTTTCATCTGAAAATGGAAACAAAACAAAATGAAAAGATGGGGGAAAATATAAAATGAGCAGAATAAAGTGAATTTAAATGTTTGCGTTATAATAAAATTGTACAAAATAGAATAAAGATTGCAACAAATATTCATTTAAACGTCGATGAATGAAAATGAAACCATTAAAACTGATATGGAACCTAAAGTGAAATGTTTATTTTTTGTCTATCATTTGTATAAAAATGTAATTATTTTGTACAATAAAAATACATTTAACAATGATAAATCTTGAAGTAAATCCACAGAGCTGATTATTGATTCAGGTTTCTCTGTTTGCAGCGGCTCCTCCTGCAGGTCGACAGCCGCCACTGCAGCCCTCAGGTTCTCTGTTGCCTGGCAACCGTGACAGCAGCGAGAACGTGCACCTGAAGCACCTGGATGCTTTAAGAGTCTGAGCAGCACCAACACCTGAACCAAGCCGGAGCCCAGTCCGAAGCTCGGCCCACCAGAACCAGAGGCTGGTTTTCAGAATAAAACCCGAGACGTTTTGGAGCACAGGGTTAACTCACAGCTGGAGAGGCAGAAGGACCCAAACAGGTCTAGAAAAACAGCAGCTGGCTGCATAAATGAAATGTTTTTTGAATTAACGAAATAAAGTTTTTCTGTAGATCCTCCTCTTCGTCAGTCTTTTATAATCCCGCCTCTTCCATCTAGCTCCTCCTTTAGTGACTTCCTGGCCTCCACTGGCTCCACCATCTTCTGTAGCTCCGCCCACTTAGAAGATGAAGGGCGGACAGGACGTTCTGGTCCCAGACCTGTTAGTGCGTCTCCTCCTGTCCTCCAGCTCTCTGCTGCCCCCTGGCAGCCAGGTGCTGCGCTGCTTCTGCAGGAAACCCCGAGCTGTAAACGGAGCCCCCTGCTGAAGGTTTCGAACCTCCAGCAGTTACCTGACAGGTGAGATAGTCCAGGTACTCCTGAGCCTCCCGACAGTCTGACAGCAGATCAGCTAGTCTGCACACACACACGCGCACACACACATGCACACACACACACACACACACATGCACAGTGAGTCTGGCTCCTGGCGGTTTTTATTGTGAAGGACCTGCAGGAGCTCGCCTCACCTATTTGCAGCTCTGGTGACCTTTGACCCTAGCTGCTGCAGCTCCACTTGTCGGCTTCTCAGCTCCTCTTCCATCTTCCTGAGGCACTGCTCCTCTTCCTCCCTCTTCCTCTTCAGCAGCTCCGCCCCCTCCTGCATCTCCCTGAGATGACATTACAGCATGAGGAAGAGGAGGAGGAGAAAGAGGAAGCGGTTAAAGTTTACCTGAGGTGCCGTGTGGTCTCCAGCAGACAGATGGCGCTGTTGTCTAGTAGGTGCTGCAGCGAGTCAGCCTGACAGAATCAGAGGAGATCACGAGGTCAGAGTGTGTCCTTGTATTTGATGCTGTGGGGCCGAAGCCTGGCCCTCACAGGAGAAATGCTGTTTTGGGGTTAGGGGGTTTAGGACTACGATGTGAACGGAGTTTTGTTTAGCAGAATGGAAGTCAATGGAAAGTCCCAGCAAAGATGGAAAGACAAGTTTGTGTGTGTGTGTGTTTACATCTCTCCTGGCCGTCAGGCGGCAGCTCTGAGCCTCCAGCAGCAGCCGGTCGGCCTGGCGAATCTCTGCCCTTCTCCGCAGCAGAGTTTCCTCCAAACACACCAGCTCATCACACACCTGCAGCACACTCCTGCACACACACACCCATGTATGCACTTACAGGTCTGTTTCCATAATTTCATCAGTCATTTATTGACAGCTGATCAACGTGAATCTGGGACCTGTGTTGCCGCAGGGACCGTTGCATCTTCTTCTTCTCTTCCATGCAGTCTGACACACATCTGCCTCCCTGCTGACACACACACACACACAGATGAAAGCAAGTGCTCAGTGACATCACCTGTGCTGATGTGAGACGCTCACCTTATCTCTGCGCCTTGACATCCTGCCCCCTGCTGGAGGACCCTGGGAGGTCCCAGCTGAGACAACTTCAGTCGGGTTATTGGGGGCCAGACGAATTCGTCCTGCAGGAAATGCATTGTCAGCCTGTGATCCCACTCTGCCTCCAGTGTCTGAAACAGACTAACCTCCTGAAGGAAGCTCTTCTTGATGTCGCCCCCTGTCAGGAGAACTGAGGTACTGCAGCTCCAAACCGGAGTCCTGAGTTCCTTGAGAGGCCAGACTGGAAGCCTGAGACAGAATCTGAACTTTAACCTCTCAGCAGATAAAACAAGAGATCTAATTAGCTGAACAAGGCTAAGCAAAAAAAGAACACAAACAACTCCTGAACAAGTTTCTGAAACTGAGAAATGCTGGACAGCTGGAGTTAGCTGTTAGTTGGGCTAAAATATAACGAATAGCAGCTAAAAATAAAAAAATAGATAAACTAAATGTATAAAAAATTCCAGATAACATGGTTCTGCTCTCTCATTCTAAAATCTATCTTCTCCTGATCTATTTCTGTAGCTCTGCTGCTAAAAACCAATGGAGGATGACTTTCTCCACACTTTTTTCTCCTGCTACAATCCAGTTTATATTTGCTTTTATTTTATTTTATTTGTTAACATCGCCTGACATGATGCTCCCATCACCTCATCGGTCTCCCTCTCCTGTTGTTAACTTTTTCCTTTCATGAACACAGAAAGTACTTCTGGTTCAGTTCTACTTCTCTCTCTTCTCAAAACCCCAGTTAGTCGTGGCAGATGGCTGCTGGTACTGAACCCAGTTCTGGTTCTGCTGGAGGTTTTTTCCTGTTAAAGGGGACAATTACTCTGTCACTCCCGTTTGTCTAGTTCCTTCCCCTGAAACTAAAAACAAACATAAAAAACTCTTCCATGGCTCTTGGTCTTGAGGTTTCATCTTAAATAGAGTTTGATCTAAAAACCACGTTGATACGTCGGCGCGCTATTATTAGCTCTGTGATTCTCCATCAGGCGACATGTCCTGTGATCGACAACTCACCAGTCCATCACACAACATTTTATTCTATTTCTTTGATGTTTTTACACTTTTCTTGTTTTTTTTGTTCATTTTTTAAAAATAATTTGTAGCATTTTATCTGTATAAAACTTAGTTTTTCTGACTTAGCATGCAGCGCCTAAACATACCGTTCTTGTTTCAGAACTTTTGGGTCGGTTTTGGACGGGCATGAAGTGAAACAGCAAACCCAGAAAACTGAAAGATTAAAGCAGAAAACCAAAGGCTCAGATCAGATTCTGGTTCTGGTCCGGTTGGGTCCTCGGATTACATGGGCCTCCTCTACAGGCTGCATGCAGATAAAATCCCTTTTCAAATCGTCTTGATTTAAATTCACGATTCTAGAAAACTGATTTGTTGTAATTTGGCTCAAATAAATAATTGAGCTGAAATGAAGAGAAATGAAAACATGGAACTTTTTCCTCCTAATCTCTGAGTCTGTAACCTGGCCTGTGTCAGGGCCCAGGGTCAAAAGGTCACTGGAGAATGCAGGCATCGATCCCGCTCTCATTTGAACTCATTCCCCTGCTGAGGATCTGAACAGAACCAGAACCCCGAGAACCGGACCAATAAGTCAGATCCAGTATTGAGTTCTGAGCAGTCCGTCCGGTTGGGTTGGGTTCGGTCCGGTTCAGTCCAGTCCGGTCTCTGGCAGTTATTATAAGTGGACAGACCCGACTGGTACTTACCAGGTTCTGCTCCACCGTCTGGTTCTGGCCCAGTCGGACCTGACGCCTGCTGGTCCGGTTCTGGTGTGCCGACCGATGGAGCCGCTCGGTGCTCAGAGAGTCTATAGATCTGGGAGGAGCAAACATGAGATCAGGTTCTGATGACTGGCCGACCAGAACCAACCAGAACCTGAAACATCTCCAGATTCTGCAGCCTTCGAGCAGAACCTGATGCTGCTCTGCAGACTGGACCCAGTCCGAACCAGAACTTCACAGTAGTCTGATTCTTCTGCCCGGAACCGCAGACCCGAACGGACCGGTTCAGGTCCAAAAGACTCCGGACTACTTAACAGTAAATCTGCTGGTACCTGGCTCCATCCTGTGGTTCCGTCTGGTTCTCTGGTTCTGTTAGACTGTCGGGAAGCCGCTCCAGATGGATGCGGGTCGGGTTTAACTGGTCCAGTTGGACCTGGAGACAGACAGAACTGAACTGGGTTAACTGTGGTTCTGGTTCCAGATAGGGTTGGGCGATATATCGAGTATACTCGATGTATCACAATATTTCAAATTGTAACATTTCTTAATTATCTGTGGTTAATATAGTAACCCCTTTCAGTTTGGGAGTTCAAATGTGATATTTCCATATATGGTATGACTCCGCCCCTTCCTGCATCCAGGTGTTTCTCAAGCCTGGAACCTCCCAGTGTCACCTGGAGGGTTGGCTCTGCCCTCAGCTGCTGAAGCTCCGCCTCCAGCTCCTCCTGTCGGACCCTCAGAGCCTGAACTTCCATCCACAGCGCAGACAGTTCCTCCTGCTGGACACAGAGGGGATTAACACCATGACTTCATGAGACAGTGACCTCCACTCGACCTTCTGACCTGAGGGTCCTGCACCATCCTGCAGTGGGTGTGGGAGTCCTGCAGGAGGCGCCGGAGGCTCTGGTTTTCCGCCTGAAGAATGTGGACCTGCTGCTGAGAGCACCGGGCCTGAAACACAAACCGAGACGATGGATGAACTGGGAAGCTCCACCCCCCATTGCCCCGGTAGCCCCTCCCTCTGCACCCCTCCAGGTGTACCTGCTGCCTCAGCCCTCTCAGGTACTCCTGCAGTCCAGTAGTCGCCTCCTGCAAATCCCTCTGCAGCGCTTCGTTGGCCAGAATCTGATCTGCAGCAGGACAACATGATGTTTAAACAGCCAATCACAAGGCTCGGGAGCTGATCTGTGATTGGTTGTCCTCACTGCTTGTCAGCTGCTGCTCTAGCTCTTTGATCTCCTGCGTCTCCATGGCGATGCGTGATAGGAGGTCATCAAGGCGACCCTCCAGCTGGCCGTCCTTCCTGCTCATTGTGCTGGGCAGCCGGACCCTCAAGTAGTTCTACAGCGGGTTCTGATTGGCCGTCAGACATTAGCCCTAAATATATTAAACCAGCATATTTAGTTCTAAATGTGTATTTTTATTTAGCTCCTAGCAAAATATTAAGCCATCAAGTTAAATATCAAGCTAAAACTTTATTTTAAGCTAAATAATATATTAATATGTAGCATGCTAACTTAAGTTCTAAACTGAATATTTAGCAAGCAAAATAATTAGAACAAAGATAATATTTAATTGTCAAGCTGAATATCTACATAAATATTTAGTTTGAGGCTAAATATTAATAATGAACCAAATTATTGCTGTTAATTATTGATTGGGTGCCGTTTGTAAACACAGAACACAGATCCGGTTCTTTGTCTGGTTCTGACCCAGCAGACATCCAGGTTAGTTTGAATCAGAACCAGAGACTCTTCTCTTCGGTCTCTTCTCCACAAATAAAGTAAATTTAGGTTAAAACTAAATTAATATTTTCAGATTAAGGAAGAGGAAGCACTCTCAAATGGTAGAGCGCTCGCTTATCATGCAAGAGGTAGTGGGATCGATGCCCGCATTCTGCAGCGACCTTTAACCCCTGGGCTTCTCCTCCATCTCTGCGGCAGCATCACCCTAGATCAGCTCAACATCCTGCTGGATGTTGGTTCTGATCCAAACTCAGCTGACCTGAGGAACCCCTCTGCCAAGAGATCTACAGATAGAACCCGATCGACCCAACAGAACCAGAACGTTTCTGTTCTGACTCCAGAACCAGCCTGAAATTATCTAAAACTATCTCTAAAATATTCAGAAAATCTGAAAAACTCTCACAATTTAGTTCTATTGATACCTAAACATTAAAGACCAACCTGCAAAACAGTTTAAGTTTAGGACCTGTAATAATTTACACACTTTCCAGCAACAAGTCCAACTAATTTACTTTTTAATTAAATATTTTTCAGTGTATTGTTGATTTTTGTAAAGTCAGTAAGATCTTAAGATGGTTCTGTTCTCCATGTTGTTTTATTTTGGATTTATGAGTTGAAAATTAAATTCTTCAATGTGAAAAGCTTATATCTGCCTGGACTTCCGGTTGGAAGCTCCTCCTCTTCCTAGGAGGTCAGGTTCGGTTCTGAACTTCTGGATCAGAACCGAGTTTCTGCGGTTTTCCTGAGGAACCTCCCGCTCCTCTTCCTCGGATTCTCAGCTGGTTTTACTCACAGCGTTCAGCTCTCTGCTCTGCTTTTCTTCATCTCCTCCTCCTCTCATCCCTCCATCTTCTCCTCCTTCTCTTCTCTCCGTTACAAACTTCTGCTCCTCCCTTCACGCTGTTGAATAAAAACAGGAAATCGCTCTCTCTTTCTCAGCCAATCAAAGAGGAGTCTGTGGGGTGACCAGGAGCTGCTGTCCAATAGGAGCACAGAAAAGCCAGAGTGCGTCAGTACGTCTTAAAGAAATAGTGACCCGATTCTCAACTTCGGAGATTCATGGAAGGAGGAATATTTACAGACTCGTTCAATAAATTATTAAAATATTTTTTTCAGGAGTTTTGTCACCAATTCAAATACACTAAATAAATTAATAACACAGAGATAAATGTTTGAAAGCTTTTATTTCTGTAAATTATTTTTTTCAACTTACGACTAATAAAAATATGACATTTAAAATTACATATTACATCCTATGTTATATTAAATAAGACATTGATAACCAACAAAAATTAAAAATTAAACGAAATTAAAGGTGATGTTTTGTTTTTTTAAGAACTCCACTAAAATATTAAAACCAAAGCCATTTTTGTTTAGTAGAAATTTACACAAACATTTTCTACAAATTAGGATTTACCTCCCAGTGTGTCAGAACAAACTTCCACTGGAATAAAAATAAAATAAATGATCTCATTATTTCGAGATACTATCAACAATGGACTGGAAACCCCGAGATCAAAGTGGGAAACACCCCCAAAGGTGGTGGAGAACACCAGAGCTAAGATCCTGAGGGACTTCCAGACAGTGGCGGAGCTAGACTTTTTTCCAAGGGGGGCCAAAGGGTGAGCAGGGCTTTATCAGAGGGTCCATATACAAATGGACCGTTCCATGGAACGAAAGGAAAAAATATTAGTTTCCTTTCATTCAAAATTAATTAATATAACTAGTGAGGTTATAATTCAAAGCTTTCATATGACATAGCCTACTTACATTTCAGTCATTATAAAACTTAATGGTTTTTCTCATATTCTTACCACACATTTCAAGCAAGAACTGGGAGATATAAAACATTAGGGTTAGGGGTTAGGGTTAGGGTTAGCCGTTGTGGTAGATGTAGCAATACCAAGTGATTGCAACATCAGGAAAAAGGAGAAACTGGAGAAATACCAGGGCCTCAGGGAGGAACTGGAGAGGGCCTGGAAGGTGAAGACCACAGTGGTGCCTGTGGTCATCGGGGCCCTCGGGGCAGTAACCCCCAAATTGGAGCAGTGGCTACAACAGATCCCAGGAACAACATCAGACATCTCAGTCCAGAAATGTGCAGCAGTCCTTGGCACAAGATACTGCAGGACCCTCAAGCTCCCAGGCCTCTGGTAGAGGATATATAGATCTATAAATATAGATCTATATATCCTCTGGTAGAGGACCCGAGCTCAGAGGATAAGAACCACCCGCGGTGGGTGAGAAGGGAATATTATTTCTTATATACGTGTATATGTGTGTGTTTTTTTTTTAACAGAGTGGTGGAAACAGGCTTCCATAGATTTTTACTCCAAATTTAACTCATTTACATCCATGTTGGTTTCCTCTCCCGTTTTCTTTTCCCGACCTGAAATCAGGAAACGCCTGGAGTTGAACCAGAGACCTCTTGGAAGAGCAGCAACCACGTGTTGCTGCTCTTCTGTGTTTTCAGTCAGTATCTGGATGAACCTCAGAATAAACTCTGAGCTGCTGCAGAACCTGAGCCTCCAGGTGACCTTTGATCCCTTCAAAACATCTGATGATAATCCAGATTAATTTCATTCTCCAGCCATCATTTAGCAGCAATGACAGCAGAATAAAAAGATATTTTTGTTTAAGATATTTATTTTCCAACACTAGAAAAAATACATCTGTATTAATAATGAATGTTTAATGAATGCAGAGTTCTGCCTCGGACCCATTCACGTTTAAACCAGGTCCAGAAATGACCCGGTCCGCGGTTCAGGGGCAGCCGAACAGCTGCAGGTCCACAGCGTAGTTCATCAGCTGGGAGTTGTAGTCCTGACACTGTGGAGAACTACAAGCTGTGGGCCACCACTCCACCAGCGCCTCCGAGTCCAGAGGCAGCCTGTACCTGCAGGTCCAGAAGCACCACAGGTGAGACCCTACCTGAGCTGAACAGAACCTGAGCAGAACCTTAGCAGAAGCACCCACCTAGAGCCGCCACCCTGCGTGACCTCTGACCCCCCGGAGCCCAGCACCAGGTATTGCTGGTTGTTCTGCAGCTCCACGCTGGCGCAGGTCACCTTCTTCACCAGGTCCAGGTCGCTGCCTGGACCGGCCGCTTCCAGCGCTGGGACCAGAACCAGAGTCAGAGTAAAGTCAGGAAGGACCCGGTTCTACTGGACCCACAGAACCAGAACACCATCTGCTGGGTCATTTCCTGCCTAACGCGGCGTTACGTTCCATGCTAGCTCCACTTAGCGCCTCATGAACGTTACAAGAGAAAAAAGTGAATAGAAAAACTTCACTTCAGTCATTCTTCCTCCGTACTGATGTTAGTGACTGAGTGAAAGGCCCTGCAGCGCCGTCCATGGCTGCTACCCCCTTTCCATGGTAACAAGCAGAGTCTCACCTTCAGATTTCTTGAGGACCTCGGCTACGGTGGCTGTGTAGGTCATGAAGTCTCCCTCCGCTGCCGAAGATTTCACCGTCACCTTGAAGGCTGCAGAGGAAGCAGACAGACCAATCAGACTCCAACCATTTAACACGAACTGGGAGCAATGGTTTGATCTGGAGCTGGTATTCCTCACAACACCAACCAACAACTGGTTCTTACAGAAACACAGAGAGAAACATATTTTAAAGAAATATACATTTATTTTTCACACATTGAGATAAAAGTCAAAGTCAGTGGAATCAGTGGAGGTAGATGTAGTGCAGTCAGGTGTAATATGGTGATTCATGTACTTAGCGCCAGCAGCATAGCTGCTAGCAGTTAGAATCACCAGATCAATAATCAGTGGAAGATCCGATCCAGTGGAGATGGGAAGTCCGGTTCATTAGGGTCAGAGTTTATCTGCAGCCTAAAATTTTAGCTTAACTTGGTATAAATGAATGTTTGAACATTAATAAATCCTTTTGGATTCAGTGTTTTTATGAAAATTTCCCTAATTTAATGAATTTGTTCTTTTATTAATGCGGATATTATTACTTTTCTGTAATATTCTAATCAAACTTTTAATTTTAAAACATAAACAAAGTGAAACACCTCAAATATACCAAACAGACCCATAATAATTTATCATTATTATAAATAACATCTTTAAACTAATCATCAGTTACATTTCTGGGTCTCCTCACCTCCATCACCTGGCTGTTGGTCAGACCCCCCCATCTGTTTTCACATTATGGTATGACCCCAAATCCTCACATGTGATTGGCTACATGCCAGCCTTTTAACCAATCAGACCACAGTTCTGCTGTGAGGAGGGCGGGCCCACTGAGACAGAGCTGAGGATCAGGTGCAGCTTCTCCGAGAGCCACTAGGGGGCGTGCTGGTTTTTTTTTCCCCCACATAATAATTTAAAAATATCAGAATATTATTATCTATAAGAGATTATTAACCATCCAGGTGAGTTTAGAGCTGCTGCTGTGACCAGATCATTTCAACTTTAACCATCTTTAATCTGATCCGAGAACCTCCACCTGTTTCTAACAACGCTGCAGCTAAAAGGAGCCAATCAGCTTCCAGGCTCTCACCATATTTGATGTGCGGCTGGCAGGTCTCCTCGGTGCGTTTGGCTGCGGTCAGGGTGGCGTCCATGCTCCCTCTGTAGGTCGCACACGCAGCTGCAGGGTCACACAGCACTCAGTTTCATAAGGTCAGCTGGAGCCAGCCAATCAGAGCAGAAACTCGCCTCACCTGCCATGCACTGGCACTGTTCGCCCACACAGAGGCGCTGCAGCCTCTGCTCCTGGCTGGAGAAATGCTTGGTGCACAGGCTGCCTGGAAACACAAACGTTGCAGGTTAGCAGCAGATTCTCTTCAACATGCAAACAGAAAAAAGATTTTATGAGATTTGCTCAATGAAAACATTAGAAACGGGTTGGAAACCTGGGAACTGGGACCGTCCCCATGTCCCGGTTCCTGGGGACGGTCCTTCTGGGTTTGATGCAGGACCGCTCTGGGAGAAGAGTAGGACCCAAAGATGTAGCAGACCTTAAGCTAACATTGCTAACTGCTAGCTACAACCCGGATAAAGTCAACGTATGGATATTTATGGTGGGTTGGATTATTTGGTGGAACACCCAGGAGCCACTGGGGGGCGATGTCTCCCGACTGGCCTGGGAGCGCCTTGGGATTCCCCTCCTGGGGAGGAGCTGGAACAAGGGGCGGGGAGAGGGAAGTCTGGGCCTCCCTTCTGAAGCTGCTGACCCCGCGACCCGACCCGGACAAACGGAAGAAAATGGATGGATATATGTCCCAGCATTCACTGCAGGCTCACCTTTGTCCTGAGGTTCTGTGACAGTCATCAGGGACTCAGCAGCACCAATCACCCTGAACCTGGTTCTGACCCGAAACCCGACACACAGGAAGACCTCAGAGGGAACCTGACGGTGAAAAGACGGGAAATAACTAAAATACTAACATCATCATTAGTATCATCATCATCATCATTAGTATCATCATCATCATCATTAGTATCATTATCATCGTCAGGGTAGCCAGCACGGAAAAACATCAGTCATGACCTGAAAGAAGCAACTGCTGCTGGGAAAGGTCAAGGGTCATCTCGAAGCTACCTGAAGTCTGTGTTCCAGACAGAATCAAGTTATTCCCAGGATGATAAAAACTAATAACAAGAACTTAAAATAATTACAAAAATAAAATTAATGAGTTAAAAAGATTAAATACTAAAACACAAATCAAAGAAAATCAAAATGAATTCAAATAAAAAAATAAAATAACAGGAAACGATAAAATTTGATTATTTCAGAGAGATTCAGCTCAGGGTCAGAGGTCAGAGCATGAAGCTCAGAGAGACAAAGAGCTACATCTCTGACTGTACGGGGCTCAGTTAGAAGGTTAAAGGTCACAAGCTTGAACTGCGATGGCCTAGTCAAAGTCCAGAGCTTACGGTGAGGTACTCACAGAGTCCATCTGGATGATGACGGTGTTTCCCTGGAGCTGATAGTGGGAGATAGACGGGTACGCTCCGTCTGTGAACTGAAGACCAGCAGAAAGAAAAGTTCAGAATCTAGAACTCTGGATCTATAACTCTAGAGCTGCAACTCTAGATTGTTCCTCTTTAGGTCTAATAATGATAGCTTCAGTTTTGTCTCATCCACACATTGATCTGTTCTCAGCATGTGTTCAGTGACTGAATGGGGTCAAAGGTCACCTGGTAGAGCTGAATATCATCCATGTAGTTATGGTAGCTGATATTATCTCCTGTTATAACCTGAGCTGGTGGGACCATGTAGATATCCAATCAGAGGGTCCCAGGACTGAACCCTGAGGAACCCCACATGTGACCTCTGACCTTTTCAATGAAAAGTGTCCTATTGAAACAAAAAACATCCCAGGGAGCATTCACACCAGTCCTGTTTAGTCCACTTCCATTAAAGTTAGACACTACAAACACTGGTTCGGTTGATGAGGTGTGAATGCTAACTGACCTTTGACCTCTGGTCCTCCAAATCTCAGTATCTCTTCTGAGGAAGTGAAATCATACATTAAATGACCTCTGACCAATGTATTCAGAAAATATCTAAACATTTCTGAATAAAACACACAAAGTCCTAAAACTTTTTTTATGTTGGAATTGTGTATGTTCTGTTATCTACTAGCATGATTTGTTCTGGCCATATTATTCTGGCTAATGCTATTACATATTAAAGTATCATCCAAACTCAACGTTCTAAGCAAATAATCAAACCATCATATTCTACTATAAACTCAATAACTGATCATAAAATGTTTTGCACCATATCAGCCTCACGAGATGAAGAGACTGATGCCTGGTTCTTTAGGTTCTGATCCGTTCTGTCTACCATACAACAGGAAACTGGGCCAAGATGGACACTTTCTGTCCGTCGACGGTCGTTAGGGTCAGGGTCAGGGTCAGGGTCAGGGTCACATCGTCCATCCTGGTTTCTGCGTCTTCCTCCTCAGGTCTGGATTTCTGCCAGTTTTTGCTTCTCAGGACGGCGGCGTATCGGATAGCGGCTCACCGGGCCGCGTAGCGTCCGCCTCTAGGCGACCGTGACGGCAGCTACGGCTCGTAGCATTCAGGGGTCCTTCGGCTCCCGCCACAAGAATTTAGCTGACCTTCATATTTCCTGTGTTTTATTTTGGTCCATTTAGTGTTTATAACAGGCGCGTCTATCGGTAGTTGTGTATCGGTTCAATTTTAATGGTATTTTACATATTTTATGGCTGATGGTGAGCCTATTCAGGGTGCTGAGGTTCAGCCCTAAAACTGGGTCCAAGAGAACCAGAACCAGCACTTCTTCCATGGTTTGGACTTATGTGGATGTCATTGAACACTCTGACAATGGCGGTCTGCAAGGTAACTATGGAAACTAGATTGAAACCAAAAGCCATGCCGATTACCTGTCTCAGGTCCTCCAGGGTCGGCTCAATGCCTGTGGGCAGCTGGATCTTCATGACGGTCAGAAGCGACTCGGTGTAATCCTCGTTGGGTGGAGGTCGGTACCTGGAACACAAAGGTCACAGCGTCCATCACTGAGGATCTGCGGCGACCGGGTCGGATTTTACCTTCTTACTTTACACAGGCGACCAGGTGAGGAGCCTGCATGGTTGGATCTGAGGAGCAGAGCAAGAGCATGAGGTGGAAAGATCAAACCATTTTCTTAAACACAGCAGGGGGGCGAGGGCCGTGGGGAGGACGTACTGCTGGACACGGCGGATCCAACCAGCTCAATGGTCAGGTCAAAGTTACAGGAGGTCTGCGTGGATGCTGTGGTCTGATAGTAAACCGTCTTCATCTGGAGACACAGACAGACTGTCACTGGGAAGACGTCTCACCTGTCAGGTGACCACAACAAGCCCCACCCACCTTCACACTGGACACGCCCCTCCCATAACCAGTGCTCACGATGACGTCAACATTCTTCGATATCTTTGACAGAAACAGAGGAGCTGAAGTGAGGAGTTCTGTTGGGGCTTGGCCCCGTCCCTCCAGGTGCGCGCTTCCTCACCTGGAGGGGCGGGGCCACCGGCTGGCGGCGGCTCAGCTGGACTCGGCTCAGCTGTTCCTGCCTGCTGTAGCGGATGTTGATGTCCTGGTTGAGCACGGCTTTAGGAACGACCTTGCTGTACTCTGTCAGGGCCTCCAGGGTCAGAACCATGTCCTGATGTCACAAACCACCACCGAAGAAAAAAAGAAGCTGAGCTGGGTGTGGAACTCAGTGTCGCCCTCTGCTGGAGGAGTGGAACATGTTTACCTTGATGGAGTGGAAACCTTCTCCATAGTGCTGATCCAGAGTGAGCCAGGAAACCACGGGGTTGGCGTAATGGATCCTCCCCTTTAAGACACAAACCAAATTACTGAGGCAGCACCGCCCTCTACAGGCAGAGAGAGGAGCTGCAGAAACACCGCCCTCTACAGGCAGAGAGAAAACGATTGTGTGATATTATAAAAGCGTAAATTGAATGGTTTTATCAGCCTTATGAAGTGGAAGCTGTTTGCACCTTGAGCAGGAGGGCCAGCAGGACGTACGCCGTCATCTCCACTGTCTGACCGCTGGATTCATCAGGCGTCAGCCAATCAGCCGTCACGCTGGGCTCTTGCCAGTACCGCTGCTCAACCGGGTTCCCTGGACACAGAAAGCAGCATCATCACCCATCTGGACTGTTTGGGGGTTCAATGCCATGGCAACACAAACAACAACAAAAAAAAAACAAAGAAAAATCTGAGAATTAAAACGTACTGAAGAAATGAACAAACCCAAAGATCCATCAAACATGGAGAGGAATAAATGGATCATTTGGAGGTCACCTTTCTGCCGCGCCTGCTGCTCCAGGCGGGTCATCAGCTGCATGGCCTCCGCGCTGCTGGGGTTCTGCAGCGTCAGAGCGTAGGTCGCCACCGCATGCACATACATGCTCTTCACACTCAGGGCATGCTGGGAAAGGTAGTTTGCTGCTGAGCGCTTGCTGCTGTCCTGGAACTGAGAGGAGGAATCGATCAACACGGATCAGAAATCCTCTTCTGTTCTGCCGTCACAAACATGTGACTGAGACTTGAACTAGACCAGTGAACAGCTGATGAGCAGATGGTGGAGGGTCTGTGATCCTGCGGGCCCAGGAGCCCCAGAGCATCAGAAATCGAAACCTGCTATCCAAACTGCTCACACATGATTCTACTGACAAAACAAATCCATCTTCTCTTAATACTCTGACCTCTGACCTCGATGTTCCTCTCTTTAGGACGACCCTCATTAGTTCTCACCTGAAGCTGCAGTTTGGGGTCTCTGATGCTCATCGCTCGGTGTAAGGCCACCAGCACCAAGGAAGTCACTAAGACCGTCTGCTCCTCATCGGTGGCGCCAACCTGGAACACAGAACCGCCGTCACAGAGGAGCTGAGCGCCGGAGGAGGCCGACCGACCCAACTGACCATGAGCCGGCTGTTCTGGGAGGAAGCCCGCTCCCTGAAGGAGCCGTCAGGCTGCTGAGTTCTGCGGATCAACCAGTTGACAGATTCTGAGAGCGACTGACGGTCCACGGAGACCAGCGGGTCGGCCAAAGACAGAGTCCTGACCACCTCGGCGGTGACTCTGCAGGACAGAAGGTCATCAGCTCGCAGACGGTACAGAAACGTAGCACTTATGCATGTGCAGAAAGCAGCACAAAGAAGAAACCACAAAAATGAACGAGAGATTCAGGAGGGAAACATCTGGACTCATTTTGTTTTTTTCCTGAATTTTCCTGGAAGACCGAGCTGGAAATGAACTTCACCGCGTTCAAGACTCACATCCTGGAGCCGAAACTTCAGGAACGCTACAGCGGAGCTAAGCTACAGCTGAGCTAAGCTACAGCTACGCTATGCTACAGCTGAGCTACTCTACAGCTATAGCTACAGGGGAGCTACGCTAAAGCAGAGCTATGCTACAGGTGAGCTAAGCTACTGCGGAGCTAAGCTACAGCTATAGCTACAGCGGATCTGGGGTAAGCTGTTCCCTCTGGTACGGAGCTGTGTGAGGCTGGCTGTGATTGGTTACCGTGTTTTGTTGATATTTTCCTTCCACTATCTTTTCTCTGTATCTGCAGGCGCCATGAATACTTCTGTTTACAATTGTTCATTAAATAAGGCGTCAGGCTGGATGGAAATGTCCTCCCTGCAGAAAGGTGGCGCTCTATTTCTGACGCCTTGTTAAAACAAAATGGAGGAAGTTATTCGCTCTGAGAATGGATTCATATTTAAAACCTAATAAATGTGAAAAAGTCACTTTAATGTCTGGATTTAATGGATCAGACGGGAGCCAATCAGGATCCGACAGACTGAAGAAGAAATCATGAAGAATCGTTTTGAATGGAAAACCTGGATAACGAGGAAGTAAAGTAACCGGATCGGGTTCTGGTTCCACTCACAGGGTGCTGGGTTCAGAGTTCACCCACATGCTGTAGCTGCTGTCTCCGTTCCTGAAGGTCGTGAGGCCGACCTGACCTGCAGACACATCATCATCATCATCATCATCATCATCAGAATGATCCCGGCGGCGCCGCCCCACCTTCTCTGATCTTCTGCCTCAGCTCGCCGGAGGTCTTCTCTATGTTTTCTCCCAGGACGTCCCAGAGGCCGTTGGTCTCCAGGTAATGGTACACCTGGATGAGTGGGAGGAGCCTATCGACCTCTGCTACTGCTGACCCAGGAGGAAGGCTGAGGATCCGCTTCAGGCCCTCGGGGTCCAGTACGACCGACACGACTTCGCCTGGGAGCTCGCCTGTCGTGAGGAACAACCATCCCCATCATTTCTGCAGACCTGAAGACGTTCAGCGCTTCGCTCCTCGCCTCACCGTTTATGGTCAGCTGTCTCTCCACAGCCGAGTTGGGAACCACGTTTTTTGGCAGGATGTTCTTCAGCACCACAGTCCGCTTCTCTGAACCTGAAACAGAAATCCAGACCGGCACGGTGAGACGATGATGATGGCAGGGATTCAAGATGAACCAAGATGGAGCACAAACCGTAGAGTCCCTGAGGATCCAGTATTCCCGCGGAGTTCACTTCCTGTCTCACTCCTTCAGGCTGCAAAGCAGAACTAATGTTTAGCCAAGCTGACCGCTGGGAGCTGCTCACATGGGAAGGACTACTGACCAAAGCAAGGCTCTGAATGCTCCAAGTAGAGTCAGTCATAGTTCACATACCACCACACGCAGCGTCTTCTGCACAATGTCTTTGGCCCCCGACTGGACGCTCAGGGTGAAGGTCAGGGTGTGCTCTCCGGGCTCCAGGCCCAGCAGGGTGAAGGTCACTTTGCCCACCCCCCTCGCAGACAGGCGCTGCCAGGTGCAGGCCGTGGCGTGATGCCCCTCCTGCCTGGGCGTCGGCTGGGACTTGAGCAGGCAGAGCGCCGGGCCGGCCGTCAGCGTCACGCAGTACTGAGAGGACAGCAGGGATTAGAGCCGCTCCCTGTAAACTGATGATCTGACTGGTTATTATGGGATGTGGTTGAACTGACGGTGATGACGTCATCCTGCTGGTTGTAGACGGAGCCCCGCAGCTCCACCTGTTCCCCCCGGACCACCTGGTAGGGCAGCGGGACGTCCACGCTGAGCGGCTGGGTGACCGACACCTTCACTGGATCCGACACACACATCCCTGACAGAACCAGAGAGACTCTGCGGTCAGGTTCCTTCCTGCAGGCCACTGAGGAGACCACTGAGACGGAGAGGAAACCCACCGCCCTCTGGAGACATGCCAACGGCTGAAACCACCCAGGAGGTCAGAGAGTCCGGCAGAGTCCTGTTGATGGACAGCCGACCTGACCTGAAGAGACAAACGCCACAGTTGGATCAGCTGCTGCAGATGATGACCAGTGATTTGAACAGAGTCTCCACAACAACCAGGCAACATCTGGCTGCAAAGAAGCAGAGATTGCTCAAAGTGTTGCTGAGTCGTCTGTCCGGTTCCGGCTGTTGCAGGAAACACTGAGCGGTTTCTCAAAGAGTCCACCGGGTCTCTGTACTCAGCAGAGACCCGGCTAACACTGGGAAACCTGACGGTTCAGGCTCCTTCAAGCTCTGCTGTTCCACCACCTTTACTTTGTTGTTCCTCCAGCAGGCAGACAGACACTCTGGAGTCTAGAGGATTTTCCACCAGTCATTTAAATCATCACATCTTCCCTGGATAATGAGGAGCTTCCTGGATGTGTCCAATGAAATGAATCTCCTCAGTAAAGCTGCTTCCATCAGAGCCCCTGGAACATGGAGGCTCTAATTGTTAAAATAATTGAATGAAAATAAAGTAACATGACTGCAATAGTTGTCAGATTAGAATATTCCCTGCACTTCATTCATGTTAAGAATCTGTTGAGGTGCGTTTGATTTGTGCCACCTTGCAGGCTGCACCTCCCACAGCCAGCTCTCTGGAAAGAAGCTTCTCACCAACGACGGCGCCTGATCGAAGTCTGCGCCCAGTTCTGGAGAGAAACATCAAGTCAGGCATCGCAGTCAGGGCCAGCAGGACCGGACCAGAACCGACCGGACTCACCGTAACGCCCCAGAACCAGCCGGTCGCTGTGGTCCAGGTGCTGCTGGTGGAACTCGCAGCACAGCCTGAAGACCGTCTTGCAGCCTTCATCCTTTATTTTGAGCCTGTCAAAGATCTGGTCTGCGTACTGCTGGCAGCTCATGATCTTTGGCATGTAGTCCATCCCCGCCGAGCAGCAGCTCTTCTTGGAGCCGAAGGTTCTGGCTGCAGAGAGACGGATCCAGACAGAACCTGCTGACTGACTCAGAACCAAACAGCAGCTGTTTTATTGCTTCTGTTTTTAGTCACTTAGGATGTTTTAAATCTTCATTATCCCATCATCTACACACAGCTTACTGTCCTGTGAAGCTTCATTGAAACTTTGAGATGGTTTCAGTTTATAGATAAATCAGCCAAATATAAAGAACAATCAATCAATCAATGAATCCAGTAATTTGTGTAGCTTCAGTCAGTTATGATGTGGAAGAGGACAGGTCCATGGAGGACTCGGTGGGATCGTACCTTTCGCTTCCTTCTGTGCTTTGGTCAGTTCTCTCTTTGGACGAACGGCGGCTGAACACGACTCACCTGTGAAACACGCCGCCATCACTGAGCAGCTGATGAGCGTCTCTGATTTCTAACAGAATGATGGACGTACTGCTGGACGAGGGGGCGGCGTTGGCGTTGGTCATAAAGGTGAGGCCGGCCAATCGGAAGACGTCGGCGTTGTCTTTGCCGCCACCGCCGCCGCAGCCCAGGTCGCTGCGCTCGAAGTGACGAAGGACCTGCGGGCCACCGTACATCCTGTCAGAGCACCGCGCAACGCAACGAACGCGCTCGGGTCAAACTGACGCTTACCATGGAAACGGGGTCCCTGTAGTTGGGGCGTAGGGTGAAGACGGCGGCGTCTACCGCCGACAGCGCCACCATGCTGCCCTCATTGGTCCTGATGTCCAGCTTGATGTTCTCCTTTGGCTTGTAGAGTCTTTCCTGCAATAAGATGTCGGTCTGACAGAAAGCACCAGGTCAGAGGTCAATCGCTGCTGATGAAGCACAGATGCAGCAAGACTGCAGCACCTGGAGGCCGTTGACACACTTGTCTTTGACGTCCATCCAGACAGAGTCCACCACCAGCTCCGTCGTTCCTTCTCCGTCCAGGACGTAGAAGACCAGCAGCCTGATGGACGGGACCATGGAGGTCGTCACCAGGAAGTTCAGGTTCTGTCTGCCATCAGCGCTGGAGGCAAAGTTCTGACTTTTAAAAAACACCACCTTCCCTTTCGACAGAACCTGCAGGGGAGCAGCAGCGCAGCCGTCAGTGACTATGGCAACAGGGGAAGCACCGTGCGCGGCGCCTCCTCACCAGGTAGTTGAGGGTCCTGATGTTCAGGTAGGAGGGAGCTGCGGCGTACACCTGGATGTTGGCGTACTGGCTGACCCGGAGGCCGTGGCCCGGCATGGGCGTGTTGATGTAAAGGTAGCGCCGGTTTGGGGAGTGATAGGCCACGGCCTCCAGGGTCAGACCGGCCTGACTCTGAGCCGGCAGGGCGGGGTCCGCCGTCTCAAACTGGGTCAACCAGACCAACAGGACAAATCAGCTGTTTTTGTCCCACTAACATTTCAGATCATCAAGCTAACGTTGAATGAAAAGCTCTTCTGAAGCTCAGCTTCATAAACCTGGAAGCTCTTCTCAGATCTTCCTCACCTTCAGCTGAACCTTCACTGCATTTTTCTGGGGGTTGCAGATGAAATACAAGAGCCCATCAGATCCACTGATTTTGTTCTCCCCACAGGACATAACCTTCGTTTCTCCTGTATCCATGAACAGCTGATTCTCCACCAGATGCACCGGCACCAGGCTCACCGGCTTGTCCAGGTGATCCTTCACCAGCACCTGCAGAGACAAAGGGCCTGTGGAGCTGAACAAGGGGGGGCCAACCAGGAGTCAGAAGGTCCAACCAGATGTTGCATCTGGTTCTGGAGCAGCTCAACACCTGGACCGCCTCAGTGCTTTCCTGGACACCACTGAGGCGGTGTCCAGACCAACGAGTGAGAAACACTTTTCAGGTGGGACTCCGTGACGCGTACCTGGATGTTGTAAGGAAGTCCCGGCTTGATGAACAGAGGAGTCGAGATGAGGCTCAGATGATACGGTGACCTGACGAACTTCACAGTAGCAAACTCCGCCTCCTGCGTGATCCCACCTGCAGGGCGACATCCAGTCCAAACGCTGAGCAGGTGAGGACCTGGTTTCAGGGTGGTATGATGTCAGCGTACCTGTGTCCTCCTGCAGCAGCACCGCTATGTACAGGTAGCTTCCCACCAGGCTGTCCAGGTCTCTCAGTCCATCGTGGTTGTCCAGAACTTTCTGCATGTTGACAGTCACATCCAGTTCACCTGTTGCAGAGAGCTGAGAGGAGACAAACCAACCCGTGTTGGAGACGTCACTCAGCAGTTTCATCAACCGCCGTCAGAGAAGTCTTTGAGACTGGTGCATGCCAGGGCCTTACTCTTTCTCTGGTGACTGATGTGGGAATGATAACAGGAGCGTTCTTGTCTCTGACGTATCCATAACGCAGAAACAACTGTCCTTCAGCCACCGGGGCGCCGTGGAGATACCTGCCAAAGGTCAGAGCACCGCAGGGTAAACATGGCCCCTCCGGTCGAACGTCTAGCGGCTGGAGGAGATCGGGCCTCACCTGGCTGAAATCCTGAAGTGGAACTGACTGAACTGACTGTAGCTGATGAAGTTTGTCTGTGGGTTCATTTGGATGGAGAAACTAGGAAGAACTGAGAGAAGGAGAACATCACAGATCATTAGCTGCACCAGCAGGGCTCATATCAAACTCCTAGACGTACCGTATTCTTTAACTTCAAAATCTGTCTTTGCTTTTGTTGTGAAATCATCTGTGTAGGAAGCGTCTATTGTCCATATTCCCAACCTGCAGGGACAGAGAACTCAGGAAAACCGTCTTGGGAATCACCAGACGGTCTTCCTGCCTCGGCAGAGCTCTTCCTTACTTTGGTTTGATGGGAATCCTGAAGGGGTTTTGCATCGATGGGATTCCATTGTTCACATCGACGATCTCCACAACGTCTACCGTGATCTGATCCGGATCCTGGGGGAACAAACATGTTCATTGAAATGGTGGCGAATGGTCAACTCGTTTACGGGCCTGGGCTCATCGGACTCACCTTGAAGGTTAAGAAGACGCTGCGATTGGCTGGTCTCAGCTCCTGGTTCATGGAGAACGCCCTCACTTTCACTGAACACATCACAAATAGTTTTAAACCTGAACAGCCAATGTTGGACCAGAATCTGAGTGGAGAACCGAGAAGGGCCGACCTTTCTGATGAGGCGTGTAGAGCGGTTTGTCTGTCTGGATGAACAGGAAGCCGTTGGATCGGGTAACCGGGATGGACAGGTGTTGGTTGATCCCGTTTGATTGGACGTGAAGAATCACATGATTCAAATCCTTATTCTCTGGAAGTGGCAGCAACTAAAGAGAAAAACAGGAACCAACAGCAGCTGTTTTCAGATGCACTCCATGTTGGGCTAATACATCTGGTCTGAAGTCATGTTGTTCTGTGTGCATCATGTCTGTTGCTATGGTTTCTCGGTTTTTTTGCTCTTGTTCTGCAGACTTTTAGGATGTCCTGTCCCTTTAAACCTTTCTCTCTCTCTTTTCCATTTCTGTGTCCATTACATTGGAAATACACCCAACACGTGTCTAGAGTTCAGGAAGTGACGCTTCGCTCTGACATTTTACAGAAATCATCACAGTAATCAGTCATGATTGTGCAGGAGTTTCTCACCCGGACTTTGGCGACGCCCTGGTGGTGGTTCTGGCTGCTGAGCCGCAGGGAGTCCCTGGACAGCTGCCGGTGGCCCGGGGCCATGGAGGTCTTCAGGAAGACGTAGACGGTTTCCTCCGTGTTGGAGCCGAACAGCTGAACAAACACCGTCTCCACAGCATCCAGGGTCACCGACAGGGGCGCTGTGACCAGGAATCTGACAGAGAGAAATACCACAGAAGAAGAAGAGTCCGTTCACCAGCAGGACTCCGTTATGATTCTGTTTATTGTGATAAATCACAGAAATCCTGACGATGAAACTTAAAGTTCCTAGTCAAAGCCCAGTCAGACCAGAAACCTGCAGGATTCAGTGCGCATGACCACAACGTAGGATGGATTTCAGGGTAGCAGGTAAACACCTGGGGGGGCGTGGCCTGTTTGAATGTCAGCATGACGTCACCAGCTCACCTGGTTTCTCACCTGGAGGCTCCACCAGTCTGGCTGCTGATTGGCTGATTTGGCTATTAGGTGCTGTAGTCGTAGAGATTTGGTGGGAAATCATAAAAATGTTCACATGTTGTCAGAGGGGAACAAGAACAAGACGAATGGAGTTTATTCATTTTCAAACTGGAGTTTGGAAAAATGTAAAACATGGATGAACAAGAACAGCTGCATCCAGACACGGAAAAGATATTTTTAAAAATGATGCCGAATAAAAAAGGCTTGAAAGCAAAACCAACCAATAGAGGCTGGAGGAGGAGGAGCGGCGGCCATGTTTGATTCAGATCAAACGGGCTTCAGTCCTAAAGTTTAAAGGTTAACGAGTTTCCACAGAGACGGTGATGTGAGCCGAGTGTGAAGCATCAGCAGCAGATCAACCAGAACCACCGGAACCACAAGCTCCGGCCGGTCCAAACCGGAACCACAAGCTCCGGCCGGTCCAAACCGGAACCACAAGCTCCGGCCGGTCCAAACCGGAACCACAAGCTCCGGCCGGTCCAAACCGGAACCACAAGCTCCGGCCGGTCCAAACCACCGACTGATCAAACTGTTCCTTCATTTCACAGAAAGGCAGCAAGGCGCCACAATTAAATTAACCAAAAATAGTCCAACTTAGGCATGACCTTTGACCCCCACTCGGTGTACAAAATACTTTGACACAAAACATCTTTTTTTTTCTCCTCATGTTGTTAATGAAGAAAACATCAAATAAACTAATCTGACTTTAATCCCAGATTAAACTGAGATTAAAGTCAGATTTGGGTTTTTTCTCCACTGCTGTGAGAATTTGTGTTGTTTTTGATACAAGAGCAGGAATATGATGTCATTGAATAACTGGTTGAAATTGGATCATTTTAATAAATGTGATTCAAATGAACAATAAAATGTTTAATCTTTGCAGATCTATAGTTTATATCTTGCCTCTGATAAGTATTTGCTGTAAATTCAATATTTCCATGTTCCTTGTTTTGCAGTGATTCAGTCTGATTGAATCACTTATTGAGGGAAATATTTTATTTTACAGGATCATGTTTAAGTAAATTATTCAGAAATATGAAAATGATGGGAGAAGAACTATTTGCACATGGTATCTGATGAAATCATGAATTAATCACGTCATACAGCAAAATGATTTGATGATTATGAAACAGTTTCCATGTTTCAGGGTTTTTGGGTCGGGTTGTCATGGAGATCCACAGAGTTGCCTGAACTCTGAACTCTGATGTTTGTTGAGTCATTTTATGGGATTCAGCTGTCAATATTTGTTCAGCCTGCTGGCTGGTGAGCGCCCCCTGCAGGGGGCTGGCTGGTGAGCGCCCCCTGCAGGGGGCTGGCTGGTGAGCGCCCCCTGCAGGGGGCTGGCTGGTGAGCGCCCCCTGGGCTTCACTGTTGCGGCTCGGTTCTGGTCCATCCGCCTCATTGTTTCTGTGCTGAAGACAAATCAAGTTTCCAGCAGCAGAAAGTCGACATCCAGAGGAAAACCAACTTCAGGAAGTGAACCGAGTTTCCAGTTTGTTGTCGGATCAAAATGAGCTACAAGCTTCAGACAGGCAGCCAAAAACAGGTGGGGGAGGGACGAAGAGGAGCCGCAGGGTTTCCAGCTCGTTCTGGTTTGGTTCTACAGGAGACGACGATCGGCTCGGACCAAGCAGAACCGTTTTCTGTTCGGTTGGCCCAAAGGGTCCGATGGCGGCACGGCGGTGTGAGCATCATGATGTGGGCTTGCTCTGGAGACTCCGACCAGGAAGACTTGGTCCAGTTAAAGGACAGACTTTGGTTTTCACATTTTTCTTTGCAACAGATTCAGTTTGATAGGATTTCTGTCAGATTAGAGCCAGAAAAGTTTAGAAATGTTCTTCATTTAATTTCTGATCATCTGCTTTATCTCCAAAATGAAACAAGCATCACATAGAGAACAGGAGCTTCACTTACGATTGACTCTGAGCGTCGGTCCTCCAGCACAGAGACCAAACCCAAAGCAGCAGAACCAGCAGCTTCATCCTGAACCTCCAGTCTGACGGCCAGCGGCGCTGAGCGTCTCTTTATCTATCCGCTCAGAGTCCAGGACGTTTCCTCTGGACGGGTTGACTGGCCCAGAGGTGAGTTTACTCAGCCTGCCGTGTTTTCCAGTCTTACTCAACACCGACGACCCGGCAGAGAGAAGCTGCAGTGAAACCTGGACAACAAATGTTGGAGTTTTCCAGAACCAGAACTTCCAGAAGCTGCTGTGAGCAGAAACAGAACATTTGGGTTTCTGGCATTTCTCTACATCTTTATAGAAACTAGAAATGTTTATCCAGGCTGATCAGAACCAAGCGGACCGGAGGAGGACTGTCCATTTGGACCAGAACCTGGAGTGGAACCAGCAGGAACCAAATGGTTCCTGGTTTTATCCAAGTTGATTTCCAATCAATCAACTGAGCTACAAAAGTTATCTGGACAAACGTAGCGCAGTGGAAAGACACCTGCTTCGTTTAGTAAACATTGTTGACCTCTGATGACCTCTGATGACACTTATTAATATCTTTAAAATGAACGTCACCCTCTGGCTCCCAAAGGTTGGAATAGATGCTTTTAAACACGACCCAAAGAATCCACAGTAATTCTGGATCCAGAACCGGAACCAGAACTGGACCTGGTGTGAGCTGACCCGTCTGGGACGAACCCTAACCCTCCTGGCTCATTTTCATGCAACATAAAAGTTGCGTCTGTTCAGGATCGTTCTGAACCCTGGAGGATCTGCGGTTCTTCCCAGGTTCAGCTGGAACCACAGAACCCGTTTCTCATCTGCAGCTCCAAACCTCCTGCTGGAAGTGTAATGGTCTGGCTCTGGTACCATAACAAATAAAAGGGAAGCAACGCATTGGATAACTTAAAATAGGATTTATTTAACAAAAGTCATAGCTGGTTGATGAGAAAAAGGTGGTGCATTTTAAGCTGATCTGATGTCATTCATGGAGACACTGGCCAGCTGCCTCCACTTCCAATCAGCACCAATGAGAAGACCTGGAGCTAAACCCCCCCAAAGGACTAGCCTTGGGCCGTAACAGAAGCAGAACGTCTCTAGATCGACTGGATCGGATCGACTGGATCGGATCGACTGGATCGGATCGGCTCCATGCAGAACCAGGAATGTTTGCATTGAGCCAAAGAGACTGAAATGTTCTGGAAAACATCTGCAGATATTTAGTTCTCACATCTGGATCTGGATTTGATCCTGGTCTCTGTTGGACTAGAATCAACAACCATCCAGCAACCTGAATAAAGTGAACGGTTGCTGGATCACGTCTGCGGAGCTGATGAGAGAATTGAGCCATTTGATTCAGGAATGATGGAGAAGAGACACATCTAAGGATGTTTTCCTTCTGGTGGTCCAGTCGACCCGGTTCTACTGGAACCAGACCTTCTCCAGCTGCTGTGGTTCTGACCCAGACCAGCCTGTTCCCCTCCTGGCCTGTGGGGGCGCTGCACCAACAACCACTGCAGGAAACGACACTAAAACCTCTGAAGACACTGAGAGCAACTTCCTGTTTCACCAAATGAAACAAGATGGAGGCGTCAGAGTTTAGTGATTTCTCTTTAGTCTTTGGCTGAAGACCAGGAGCCATTTCTGCTGCTAGCGCTAGGCTAGCATGTTAGCTTTGTTGGATTTACCCAGAATGCCCTGCACTGTAGTCCACTTCCTGCTTTTGGAGCGCTCTCTGGGCCGCTTGGCGTTCACATTCAAACTGAACCAGACCGAGGTTTGGAGGACCAGAGGTCAGAGGTCAACGAGCGTTCACATCTCACCAACCGGACTTTGACTAGGCAGATGGACCAGACTTGGTCAACCTGTGTTGGAGATGCGGTTCTGGTTCCTGTCGGTGGAACCTTTGAAACAGCAGGAAACGATTTCAGGAGAAAAACTTTATTCAGACTTTCTGGTTGTTTATATTCATAACTTCCTTTATGTACAGAATCCAGTTTGATACATTTCATAAAGTGACAGCAGATTCAGTCCATGAACTTCATCTCATGTTCTTCCACCAGCTGAACCGGTTCAGAACCGACGTCTTCATGTCAAAACGTCTCAAAGGTTCTGGCAGGAGAATCCGAGCCCAGAGACCCAACAGAACCTTCTTCACATCGATATTCAGAACATTTAAGCCTCCTGTGTTTGGACCTGAGGTTCTATAACATCACAACCTTCAACAGGAACCAGAAGCATGCAACGCAAACACGACATCAACAGAACATGGCTCATCATGCAGCTGGGCCGTCGGAACCGGTCCGAACTCTGATCAATATTAGGTTATAGGAAAATGATCAACAATCAATAAACCAACAATTTTTTTATGGGCCGATCCTGTTTCTGTTTCAACATCGGACTTTTAACCCTCTAACAGAACCGGGCCCTCGGTTCGCTGATTGGTCAGCTGACCACATGGCGGGCCCTGATTGGCTCACAGCACCATGGCGGGGATGTGGTGAACCAGGGAGGCGGGGTGAGGCAGCGGGGGGTGAGCCGGCGGGGGCGAGTGGACCCCCGGACCGCCCACCACCACGCCGCCCACCGGCGCGCCCGCGTCCCCGCTGGGTCGGTGCCGCGCGCTCTTCTGGTGCGCGCGCAGCCCGGCCAGCTGCGAGTAGGCCGACTGGCACACGTGGCACTTGTAGGGCCGCTCGCCCGTGTGCAGCCGCACGTGGTTCCGCAGCGTGGACGACTGGCTGAAGCGCCGGTTGCAGAAGCGACAGACGAACGGCTTGTCCAGCGTGTGAATGCGCATGTGCGAGCGCAGATTGCTGCGGGAGTTGAAGCCGCGGTGACAGATGACGCAGCGCATGCGCCCCAGACTGGAGGAGGAAGAGGAAGAGGAGGAGGAAGAGGAGGAAGAGGAGGAGCCTTCACATGAGTGGAAATCATCTGGAAGCAGGAGAAGAAGAACCTCATCAAACCGGACCTGCCGGAACCAGAACCAGACAAATGTCTTCCGAACTCATCTGTTGCTAAGTTACCGGCTTTGGTTTTCTTGCCCTGCTCCTCGTCTGCGCCTGGAATCCCAGGAATTCCCAGGAATGTGTTGTGGGAATTTCCATACCAAACCAGCAGCTCCTGGTCTGGAGGGATGGTCTGAGAAAACAACACGATAAATATCACAAAACCACACGATAAATATCACAAAACCACACGATAAATATCACAAAACAACACGATAAATATCACAAAACCACACGATAAATATCACAAAACAACACGATAAATATCACAAAACCACACGATAAATATCACAAAACCACACGATAAATATCACAAACAACACGATAAATATCACAAAACCACACGATAAATATCACAAAACAACACGATAAATATCACAAAACCACACGATAAATATCACAAAACCACACGATAAATATCACAAAACAACACGATAAATATCACAAAACCACACGATAAATATCACAAAACAACACGATAAATATCACAAAACCACACGATAAATATCACAAAACACGATAAATATCACAAAACCACACAATAAATATCACAAAACAACACGATAAATATCACAAAACCACACAATAAATATCACAAAACCACACGATAAATATCACAAAACACGATAAATATCACAAAACACGATAAATATCACAAAACAACACATTAAATATTACAAATATCAGTTCAGCTTTTCTGTGTTTCTGTCTGATGCCAGCAGGTGGCGCCAGACAGCAGCAGAAGAACCGTTCCGTTCACTTGCCCTGATCCGAGCCAGGCGGGAACGTTCTGGATCTGCTCTTAATTTCACCTTTTCATTTTTTCATTTTTTTTTTTTTATTTTAAAATGTTTTCATTTTATTTCAGTTTTTGCCAATTTCTCTTCATCTGTTGTCAATAATTATTTATACTTTAATACAATTTGTTTGTTATGAAATAATTAACCTCTAATTTATTCTTTTTGTAATGAATGAATGAATGAACGAATGAACGAAGAGCTTTGGAGTCCTCTGGACTTGATAACTTGTTAAATTAATACAGAACATTTGATATGAATTATAATTTTCCTGCAGTTTCTAACCGATTGATGGAAATAATCTGTCAGAATTATTTATTACTTTCATTTCATTAATTTACCTGGTAGGAACATTATTATTATTATTATTATTATTATTAATGTAATATTTTCTTTTTTAGTGAGAATTTGACATTGCACCTGATTTTCTGCACTGTGGGACAATAAAGGATTTTCCTATTACCATGTTGTATTATGAGATATCAATAATAATGATATTATTATTAATAATAATGTTATTAATTTATTCCTTACATTCCGGGCTGTTTGCTCAGTTTTGCTAATGTTTTAATAGATAATTTATTTCCCAGTTTTCTTATTAAATCAGTTTTATTACATCGTTTCATTTAGTAAATTTGTATCTTTACAAAAACCAACAAGAAACAAAAATCAGCAAAATATTGAATCTAAATCAACTGTGAGAAAAATAATGAAATGATATTTATAGATTTACTTTCAGAACGATGAAAATAATTATTTAAATTCTAAACCAAAAAATTTTATTTGTTTTATTCTAATTATTATTTCTTTAATAATCTTTTGGCCCTAAAAGGAAAAAAACCTGGAAATTATTTTGTTTCAGTTTAAAACAAACAGTTTCAAGTTTTTGTTCAGTGATCAAGAATCAGTGATCGATATCTGCTGACCTCCACCGCCTTGTAGAAAACGCTGCTGCCGATCTGGACCACCTCCAGGTTCTGCTCCTGCTCGTTCCGGGCGCATTTGATGTACGTCATCCAGCTGCGCTGGTCCTCCTGACTGGCGTCGATGAAGAACCGGACCGAACCGTCTTCATTGAACACCTGCAGACCAGAACCAGACCAGAACCCGATCAGAACCAGACCAGAACCCGATCATGGAGCGGTTCCTCATCCAGATGACGTTTGGATTTTCATTAGTAAATAATTTTTAGCTCAAAGGTCAAAGGTTCATGTTGATCTGAACACATTATTGATATTTAATAAATTAAAATCACTTTATTTTATTCAAAGTGGCTGAAAAAATGTTGAAGATTTTCTGACTAAAATTAATAAAAGTTAAAAATGTCAAAAGTTTTTCTTTTATAAAAAAAATGTGCAAAGATTTTTATTAATAATTATTTCCAGTCCCATATTTAATCATAATAAATATGATTAAATATATTATTATTATTATTAATATTATGTGTAATAATAATAATAATTATTATTGTTGTTTTATTGAACGTTCCATTCTGTGGTTTATTTCTGAAATGTTTGTAAATCAGTTCAATTTTCTTTTTTTTCATCTTTAATATTTTCAGAGCGTCACGTTTTAATGTTTCATAAAATAAAATATGAAGGTATGAATTATGACTGGATGCTGTTTTATTTTGTTTTATTTTATTACAATAAAATAAAAGACCTGGATCAAGACCTTTGATCCAGGTCTTGGAGAAAATCCCGAGTCCTTCTCCTGCAGCACAGACAGGTCCAATCAGCCTGCGAACCGAACCGAACCGAACCTCTACAGCGCGTGATATTATCTGCTTCTTTGTGTTTTCGGCTCCTGTGAAAATGACATTTGATATTTATTATTATTTATGTTTAGAGAAACTTTTAGAAAATGTCAATAAATTTCCGGTCGGTTCATTGAAAGAATCGTTCCGGAGCGGGTTCGGTTCTTGTTCTGGTTCGGTTCTGCTGGAAGTGTTTAGATGAAAACATGAAATCCGCGACCAGAACCGGAGATAAAGGTGTCTATGACGAACCGAACCGGACCGGATTAAACTGAGCGGGTCCGGACAGAATCGAACCGAACCGGGCCAAACCAATGTGAACCGATCGGGCCGTACTGAACCGAACCGAACCGAACCGGACCGGGCCGGGGCTCACCTCCCACATCAGGTTGTTGTTCTTGTACAGGTCCACGTGTTCCGGTGAGACCAGGCGGCCGGTAAATGGACCCATCTCGGTTCCGGCTTTGATCCAGGTCTTGGAGAAAATCCCGAGTCCTTCTCCTGCAGCACAGACAGGTCCAATCAGCCTGCGAACCGAACCGAACCGAACCTCTACAGCGCGTGATATTATCTGCTTCGTTTCACAGGAACATAAAATGTTTTGCAGGTTCTGCAAGTTCTGCTTACCCGGAACCGAACTCTGCGCGATGATGACCTCGCTGGGCAGAACCAGGCTGGACAGCTTCTGGACCTCTGAACACAAACAGAACTTCACTTAGCTCAGAACCAGGTTCGGCTCTGGCTCAGAACCCACACCCACTTCCCAATGTTCAGAACCAAATGAGAATAACTGAAGAAAAAAAAACACTCAAATAAAACTGTAAGAAAGTTCGGCTTCTGTGGATGTCAGGGTTCGGTTCGGTTCGGTTCGGTCCGCGAAACCAGTAGAAACATAAAAAACATTTATATTCCAGAAACGGAGAACCGAACCGGAACCGGCGCGGCGGGTTGAGCCCGAATCGCCTTTAACTGAATCAGAAATAATTTCATCAAAATGACAGAAAATGATAAAAATGGCGAAACAAAACTGAAATATTTTCTCTGGAATTTTTTCTAACGAAATTCACCAAAAACAAAAACGAATCAAATCTTAAAATGAAATAAAAATGAATCAGAAATCAGAGAAGAGCTGGAAAAAAGTTTCAATAAATGATCAATGAATGGATCGAAACTTTGAGCAGAAAATATTTTCCTTCGTTTTTCTATTTCAGATCAAATTATGATGCTTAAAAATAAATAAATCCAAAATAAAAACAGAATTACATTTTTATTTAAACTCCCTAAAATATGGATTGACGCGATCAGTTCCATGTTTTATCATGATTATGAATGTCATTATTATTATCATTATTATTATTATCATTATTATGATGGTCACCGGACACTCACCCCCGGAGAAGGACTGGGCCAGAACCTCGGCCGTGAAGGCCGTCTTCGGGCTCGCGCTCGGCCCGGTTCGCTCCTCGTGCTGCAGGTGATGCTGATGCGGCGGCTGCTCGCCCAGCACGTGCCTCCAGCGGCCGTACAGGAAGCTGTGCAGGATGTCCGAGGTGATGATGTCCGCCAGGGAGAGCGGCTGCTGCGGCTTCAGGGCCAGAGAGGAGCCGGCGGGCAGCACGGAGCCCATGGCGGCGGGGAGAGCAGGGACCGGGGCGGCGGGGCGGCGAGGCGGAAGTTGGGCGGAATCTCCCGGTCTGGATTCACCGGTAAGAAGATCCAGCCACTTGCAGCCCGGGAGGCGCTGACAGGAGTCGAGAGGCTCTGCGGGAAAGTGGGGGGCCTTTATACCGGAGCCGCTGAGGAAGAGGAGGAGGAGGAAGAGCAGGAGGCCTGTTATTGGCTCCGCTGCGGTCTCACGCTCAATTAGGACGGAAAGAGCCGATCTGACCCGGACCAGCAGGACGACAAGCCCCAACACGCTGCACTGACCGGGGGTCACCGGCCCGCCGGGGGAGAGGCTCCCTCATGCTCTGGGCTTCAGATCCGCCTGAAAATGGACCCGCAGAACCTCCCGGAACCAGCAGCGCTGGAATCCAGGCTGAGTGACGGAGCAGAACATGAGATTAGAGGCCAGATTACAGAGAACAGCTGCTCTTCATCATCCTCCTCCTCCCGACACCCGCATTATTCCCGCTGCTCTCTGATCTGTATTTATGAGCTTTTAAACATTTATTACCCCCCCGATCTGACACACACACACACACACACACACACACACACACACACACACACACACACACACACACACACACACACACACACACATTACTGTCGCTGGATGTTGAATAGAATCTGATTTTAAATGAAACGTAAGTCCGAACCGAACCTGAACGGACCGGATCCAGAACCTGTTGATGTTTGAAACGGTGTCGTTTGATTTAAACTTTTATTTTTAAATAAATGACATTCATTTATATTTCAAATTTATTTAAATCCAGGTGAAACAAACCAAATAAAAACTCAGAATAATCTTTTATTCATCACTCAGTAAAATATTAAACCTGTAAATTAAATAGATATAGGTTTAAAAAGTTCCTACAAATAAATTAAAAATTATTTCAACATTATAAATATTCCAGGAGTTCCGGGTGATCACCGAACCCTGCAGCCCGGTTTCACGGCTCCTCTGCGGAGCTCCGGTCCAGAGCAGCCGAACCGAGTCGAACGGGCCGGACCGGACCGGACCGGACGCTTTTGTCCTGGGAGTGTGAGGGGACAGAAAGGGGAGAAAATCCGGGAATAAAAGCAGATTTGCAAATGTTTTTTGAATTCGTTGGACTGAGACAAGCTGGGCTCCTTTCTCTCCTCCTTTCTTTGCGGGGCTCCACGCACGCGGCTCCACGCACGCACGCGGGGAGCGGCGCGTCTGGGCCGCAGGAGGAGCTTTAATGAGCTTCCCAACAAAAAGCTCCGCGCCGCCGCAACAACGAGCCACTTGAGCCCGAAAAGACGCCGGGATGTCGGAGGCGCAGGGCGCGGCAGGTGACTGGCACGCGCACAGACACGCGGAGGCGGGTGGGAAGCGGCCCAAATGGCGCAGTGATATTGTTCCGCTAACGGGATTAAGTGGCGCAGAGGCTCATTAGTATTCATGCGGCGGACAGACGCAGCGCGCGCGCCACTAATAATCCGCTTTAAAAACCTTTTAATGATCAGTCAGCTGCACGAACCGAACCGAACCGAACCCACCTTTCTCACGACCGAGGGGAGGAGAAGGAGGAGGGTTCGGTCCAGAGCTTCAGCTTCTCTGCGGAACCAGCAGAACTAGGGAATCTAAAACCAGAACATCTTCAGGGTTCTGCAGAACCGGACCCAGAATCCTCGGTTCCGGACGGTTTCCACGTCTCGTTTTTATTTTATTGTATTTTTTAAAAATAAGTCTCACTTTGGGAAAGTTTTGCTGTCCTGGTTCGGTCTCCGGTCCAATCACTTTCACGATATTTAAAACCTCGCGGTTCCGAAAAGTTCTGGAAAGGAAACCAGAACCAGGAAAAGTCATAAAATCATCTTTCCGTTTGTAGATTCCAGGTTCCGGTTCGGTTCCGTCTGGTAATTTCTCAAAGCTCAAAAATCCGGTTCTGCTGAGCTCATCAATCCGCCCGGTTCCGACTGGACCTGGACTTCAGTTTGAAGCAGGAATCCGGTTCTGGTTCCGATCGTCTCAAACTGAAGTTCTGGAGGAATCCCTCCAGGTCCAGTTCTTGGTTCTAATCCAAACGGGTCGGATTCAGTTTATAGCCTAACAGAACATTTGGGTCAGAACCGTCGCGGCCGCTTCAGGGAAAACATTTGGACCGGGTCCAGATCCATCACGTTAATGTTTAATCAGCTCATCGGTACTTACCGAACTCCTTCCGGTACTTTATGACCGCAGAGCTGCATGCATTAGCCGAACCGGACCCCTGGGCCCAACCACAGCTCTGAAACCACAAACAGAACCGGCCGGTTCCGCCGCTCCATGAAAACACCCAGAACCGAACCGGAAGCTTCAGAACTTTGGTTCTGGTTGTTCAATGAATTCATCAACATCCGTTTCACTTGGAGGGACCAGAACTTTGGACAGGAACCAGAACCACACCAATACTCATAATTATTGTTTCAGTCTGTTGATCCGATTCATCAGGAACCGGTTCATTTTCCTCTCTTCGGTTCTGGGCCCGTCAGGGACCGGTCCAGATTCTGCAGAACTTCCTCGGCACCATGAGGCGTTCATGCTCCTGTAAATAAACACACATACTGGTTTTATGAACATAAGGCGTCCCTGACTGAGAGCCGCAGCGGCCCCTCGCGGCCCGCGGCCCCCCGAGGCCGCTCCGCGGTGATTACAGGAAGGTTTTAGCGGCCCGATGACATCACGCCGTGAGCAGAACCAGAACCATCTGGGCCACTCGAGAAGCATCAATAAATGATCAGAACCACGTGAGGAGCTCAAGCGGCGGGCCGGTTCTGACCCAAATGTTTAGTTCAGACCCTGAAGAGGATTTGATTCCAGAAACTAAAATCAAAAATAAAACATCTTCAGTTTTAAAAATGTCAGAAACAAAGTTTGTGATTTAAACATCCAAAAGTGCAGATAAAATCCTTGATGAGTTTCATCACTGAGACAAAGACACGTCAGAAACAAGAGCCGTTTATTAGCCCTCATATTAATCATCATCAACAGCCGCGGCTCGTTCATCACCATAGAATCTAATAGAAAATCTGCAGGTTACAGTCCATTAGAAAATCAACAGAACCCAGAAAACCAGAACCCGTCCTCCGGAACCAGAAGCGGGCCGGTGCTCGCAGCTCCGGTTCTGATTCCGACCAGAACCGGAAGCCCGACCCGGAGCCGCCTTGGCCCAAACACAGGCGGGTCGGAACCGAAGCGGCGCCGGGACGGGAGAGAAGGAGGCAGTTCACCTAGCAGTCTTGAGGAAACACACACACACACACCTACAGACACACACACACCTACCGACACACACACACACCTACCGACACACACACACACACACACACCTACAGACACACACACACCTACAGACACACACACACACACACACAGAGACACACCTACAGACACACACACACACCTACCGACACACACACACACACACAGAGACACACCTACAGACACACACACACACCTACAGACACACACACACCTACAGACACACACACACACCTACAGACACACACACACACCTACCGACACACACACACACACAGAGACACACCTACAGACACACACACACCTACAGACACACACACACACCTACAGACACACACACACACCTACAGACACACACACACACCTACCGACACACACACACACCTACCGACACACACACACACACACAGAGACACACCTACAGACACACACACACCTACAGACACACACACACACCTACAGACACACACACACACCTACCGACACACACACACACCTACCGACACACACACACACACACACAGAGACACACATACAGACACACACACACCTACAGACACACACACACACCTACAGACACACACACACCTACAGACACACACACCTACAGACACACACACACAGAGACACACACACCTACAGACACACACACACCTACAGACACACACACCGACACACACACACCGACACACACACCTACAGACACACACACACACACCTACAGACACACACACCTACACACACACACCGACACACACACACACCTACACACACAGAGACACACACACCTACAGACACACACACCTACAGACACACACACACACACCTACAGACACACACACACCTACTGACACACACACACCTACCGACACACACACACACACACACCGACACCTACCGACACACACACACACCTACAGACACACACACACCTACAGACACACACACACCTACTGACACACACACACCTACCGACACACACACACACACCGACACCTACCGACACACACACACCTACAGACACACACACACACACCTACAGACACACACACACCTACAGACACACACACACCTACAGACACACACACACCTACAGACACACACACACACACCGACACACACACACCTACCGACACACACACACACACACACACACACACACACACCTACTGACACACACACACAGATCGGTTAAACAAGACATGTGAATTAAACAATAGAACAAAAAAATACATTTTAGCCACTAGAGGGGAAATTTACACAAACCAAAATGTCGACAAACTGAATATTTATACGATTTAAATAAACCCCTGAAGAGGAACTCATTATTATTGTCTTTATCATCATCATCATACAGAAAGCAGAACCACTTATTCCATTTGCGCTCAATAACAGCCAGTTCTCCAGAAACAAGACAAACCTCTCTGTGGTCCGACAGCAGCTGGCTGGTCAGACATGGCTACCAAACTGTAGCTAACAGGACATGTTCGCTAACAGGACATGTTCGCTAACAGGACATGTTCGCTAACAGGACATGTTCGCTAACAGGACATGTTCGCTAACAGGACATGTTCGCTAACAAATCTGAAAAACTGCAACAGGTGGAATTAAAGTAGTAGAAAGATCTAAACAAAGATTTCAAAAAATAGACATAACTAAAGGCTTCAGGACTGACATCTCTTAAAAAATAAAATGAACAAGTCTTTCAATTTTACCAAATTTGCATCAAATAAGCTTAAACAGTAAATTAGCTGAATTTCAATAAGAAAAGCCAAAAATATATTTACATTTGTGCAAGTTTATGAAAACAACAGAACAACTTTTTGAGGAACATTACCAACCCTTAACACACATACACACACAGCTAAAGCACAAGTCAGCACCGCTCCATACACACAATGTTAAGCTAACGGCTTCAAGAAGCTAACGGCTTCTGGTAGCTAATGGCTTCTGGTCGCTAAGCTAAAACACTTTCAGCTAAATTATTGTTAAGCGACGTGAGAAAAGCAGGAAAATGTTGAATTCAAAGCAGGTTTGGCAGCTTATCAAATTAAAATGCATCATTTTGGAGTTAATATTTAACCATTTACACCAGCCTTTCTTTGGAGCCATTTAATTACTGGTTTTGTAATTAAAGGGCAATATTTAAAAAATCTTTAGTAGCTTAATTTCAAATCCACATCACCGATTTCAGAGAATGAGTCAAGTTCTTCCTAACGCTAACTCCAAAGTTTGAAAATAAAACATCAACTGAAATTTGGACCCATTTTTACAGTTAGTTGGAAAATCAACACTAATAATTTCAAAGATATGCAACCTGGATGTTTAAATATTAGTGAGCGTACATATGTAGCGTTAGTTTGGAAGACGATTGTTTTGGGGTTAAATTACTCGGTATTTAAGTTTTTGTTCAAACCGAAACAACAGTTAGGATGTTAAAAATGAAATGCAGTAAATACTAAAATCCTGCTGGTCTGACTTGTTGCTGGTTGTTTCTCACGTTATTTCATTAAATTCACTACTGGATTTTCAAAAGTCGTCATTTTTCTCCTGTAGTTTAATAAAATTTAACAGAGTTTGATGTTTTGGAGTTTAAAGTCTATTTTTGATGTTAACTGTAAAGTCAGAGCTGACCTTTAACCTGTGAGCTGATGATGTCACAGGTTAGCATAAAGTTGCATATTGAGAGGAGACATAAAAATCCGACGGCTTACATCTAGGTATTTTTTGTTTAAAGATAATACAGATAAAGCTCAGTTTCTGTCAGGAAGTTAAAATATCAGCAAGTTCAACAGATAATTAAATGTTTTGTTTTTTTTCCATTGGAGAATATTCAATTTGTTTCTTTACTGAAAGTAAGTAGAGGATTCACTTTAAAGATTGTTAAAATGTTACTGGAGAGAAATACTAGAAGCCAATGAAGTTTGCTGGTTAGAAAAGTGCAGTCTGCTGTTACTTCAGTTCCTGTTAACTTAAATGTTGCACTTGCATATTTGGGAGGCCGACATAAATATTTCATGCATGTCGAGCCAGATTTACCGAGCTTCGTTTGTTGAAAGAAAAAGCAAAGTTGTGCATAGAGCGCTCCTCGTTTGGCAGTTTGTTAGCAAGTTACAAAAGAATATCAGTAAATGTCAAAGATCAATAGCTTTTTATTCTGTTAGCTCTTTTAAATTTTGTCAAGGCAAAACAGTGATCACATGTTAAAACCATCAGGCTCACCTGATTACTTGGTTTAGGACTTTTTGATAGAACGTGAGCGTCCATTCATTTCCCACATCCACTCAGCTACATTCAGCTAAAACATTCATTCAGCAAACACCCGCTGAGGTAACACTGACCAGCTTCAACGTTTCTCCACACAAACTAAGAGCAAGAATTCAGTTTCACTGTGGAAATAAAAACTGGTGCTGAACTGCTGAGGTTCCTTCCTGCCAGGAAATGTCTTCGACCACAGAGAGATCTGGCTTTAGACAACAATATGATCGCCACTTGTTTCATCGTTACATAATAAAACCTAGAGAGTTCACTATCGATAAACAGGAATAAGAATCATCAAACCAAAGAAAACAATCATGTCATTGCACCTCCAAGATGGCGACTAAACAGGAGAAATCAGGTGAGTAGAAAGACCCAGCGAGCAGAAATTTAGTACAAAATACAGTTTTATCTCCGACGGTAAAACATCACATTTCCATCCAACGCTATTAAAATATTTCTATGCCAAAATAAAAAAGATAACTGAGAGTCAACACAATCTGACGCATGCTTTAAAACATTATCATGAACAAAATAATATATCTGATTTTCTTACTCAAGACTGCTAAGCCTTTTACCGTTTATCAGAAAAATAAAACTAGACAAAATATAGATTATACTGGATTTGTTTTTGTTCAAAGCCACACTGATAGATCTTTAAGTTCAAGTTTGATAAAAAAAAATAAAATAAAATCAGGTCTATGCTGTGGAGACCAGAGGCTAGTCCAAAAAAATCTGCCTGACAAAATATCAACTCTGTAAGGTTAAAAAACAGAAAGAAAAGAGTTTGTGATTTTTCAGTTAATCCTTAGTTTTTCTCTACAAAAAGGAAGAAAGAAGCGGCAGAGCGTTGCTTGGAAACCCCGTTTTGGTTGCTGTCAACGACCATCCGACCCATGGAGCCCAAGACGCAGGAGCCTCTAGTGATCCTGGCAGAAACAAGATGACACAGTGGTTCAGCTGGTTCGCCGCGGCCGACGGAGGAGGGCGGAGCCTACGATGTTACCTGGATCTGGGCCGGGTTCCACAGGTAGGGCTGCTGTCTGTAGTATTCTGCTAACACTGCAGTGTAGTCTGGCACCGAACTCTGCTGAGACGACTGACCTGCAACAGCAAGACCACAAATGACACCACCACCATGACAGAGGGCGGCTGTGGCTGTGTGGCAGAGTTGTCATCTTGCAATCAGAAGGTTGTAGGTTTGATTCCAGCTTCCTCCTGCCATATGTTGATGTGCCTCTGGGCAAGGCACTTAACCCTAAATTGCCTACCGGTCTGCATATCGGTGTATGAATGTGTGTGTGAATGGGTGAATGTGACTCTAGTGTAAAGCGCTTTGAGTGGTCAAAATGACTGGAAAAGCGCTATATAAGTTCAGTCGATTTACCATTTACAAACCACTCATGTTACAGCGTGGCCCAGAGTTAGCATAACGCAAAGTTAGCGTGTTCTTTGTGGATGGAACCTTGAGTTATTGTAGCCCTGGATTATTGTAGCCCTGGTCTATGCTAAGTTAGCGGAGCCAAGAATTAGCATAGACCAGGTTTAGCATAGCCTACAGTTATCATAGACCAGTGTTAGCATAGCCTACAGTTATCATAGACCAGTGTTAGCATAGCCGACAGTTATCATAGCCCAGAGTTAGTGTGTTCGTTGGGGACAGAATGCCGTGTTAGTGTCGGACCTCCATCCTAACTGATTATATTTCTGGTTCTGTTTAACGTGACCTTTTCTGACGGCAGCTGCCACGGTTTCACGTGAAGTGAGCCGTACCGGATCAGAACTGGACTCTACAGTGAGCAACAAGTGAGCGTTCATGCAGTCATACTCTGTTTCTTGTAGTAGTCCTCCCAGGCCTTGCTGTAGTCCGTCATCATGTTCTGAGGCTGGTTCTGCTGACCTGCGCACACACACACACACACACACACACACACACACACACACACACACACACACACACACACACACACACACACACACACACACACACACCCCGTAAACCTCTGGCCGTCCAGCAGCTGCTTCCTACCGAGTAAACTCTCCCTTCCCTCAGAAAGCTGCATGGTGTCCGTGTGTGTCTGTGTGTGTGCACTTGCCTAGCTTCTTATAGTACTGCTCCCATGCTTTGGAGTAGTCCATTTGTCCTGTCTGAGCCAAACTGTGACCTACACACACACAAACACACACAGCTTCAGCCGCAAACCAGCAGCTCTGAGCTTCTGACCACCAACCTGGTGTTTCTATGAACTCATGACTAACCAGGCAGGAGGAAGCAGCTGGGCTGCAGCCAGAGCTGTGGATGTGGTGTGTGTGTGTGTGTGTGTGTGTGTGGTCCCACCTGGGTCCTGCTGTCCCGGGTTCTGCCAGCTGGTCTGGTAGGTGTTCCCCCAAACGCCAGTCACAAACGGCTGGCCGCTGCTGCGGACACAAACACCTGGTGAACACCTGCTTACAACCGGCCAATCAGGTCGGCAGCTCACGCTCAGCTGACGATCTAATCAATAATCTGAAATGGATCAGATTATCTGACTAATCTGAAACAAGATGGGATTTCTAACAGGTGGTGAAAATGTAAAACCAGCATTTTGAGCAGTTTGACTCCAAGCCAGTAAAAGAATAAATCTATAGATCTATTGAGGAGGATCCTCTATATTATCCTCCTCAATAAATCAATAGATGTATAAGATCCTCCTCTTTAGATCTATGGGTCAATAGATCTAAAGAGGACCAGTTTGTCTTTTGATTGTTGGAAAATATTTCATTTTTATTTTCTGTTTTGTAAACAACCATGAGGAAACACTCTGGACCGATCCACAACATCCAGCTCCTCACTTCCTGTTTAGACCTGATTTCGGAGCCTCTGATTGGCTGGGAGGCTGCAGTGAACAGGTCAGAGGTCAGAGGTTCTTACTTCTGGTGGGCAGCAGGGCCCTGGGTGAAGGGACTGAAGCCGAATCCTCCGTTGCTCATGATCCCCGATCCCTGCAGGGAGACGAGATGGAAGCGTGAGTCGGACCAGAACCCGGGCCGGACCCTAGGAGTGCGCGTTCTGGCGGCTCACCCCAATTTTGTCATCGATGAGCTGGCGGGCGACCTCCATCTGCTGGGCGGAGCCGCGGATGGTGAAGACCCGGGTGTTTGGGTCGGTGGAGGGCGGCGGGTTCCTCTGCAGCTCCACATGGGCGCCGGACTGCTGGTTGATGCTCTTGATGGTCTCACCGCCTGCAGGGAGGAGCAGCATCACTTCCTGTTCCAGGACGGGACTGGGTCCAGAGCAGCTGGACTCATGACAAGCTCCTGGTTCTGATGGGCCCACTCAGACCCAGTGAGAACCAACAGAATCAGCAGAACCTGCCCCCGGTTCTGAAACATTTTCTGGTTTTTCTAAATTAAAACACTTTTTTTACTGAATGACAATCAGTGATTGAGTAATCAATAATTGATATGTGGAGGAAACTAAAAGATGATCAGAAATTAAACCAAAATTGACGAAAATAGAGAAACATTTTACAGTTTTAGATTCTTTCAATCTTTCTTTTTATCCAATTAATAATCAATCAATAATAACTGAGCTCCTCCCAATCAACCCCTGAAGGAATTCAGTTATTGATATGCAGGCAATAAATCAATAAAATTATTGAAATCAGGCAGTTAATCATTTGTGTAATTGTATCTTTTATTTATAATTTTTCCTAAATGAAAAATCTGCAGAATGAAATAATGTCATAATAACTGATCACTAAAAGAATCAATATCTTTTCTCCTCCTGGGTCTCAGAGGTCAGCTCCATTTATTTCAGACCAGAGAAAAACATCGAATGGAAACGCAGCGTGTGTGTGTGTAAGCAGTGTGTGTGTATGCAGTGTGTGTGTCGGCTGAGAGGGTCGAGTCGCAGCTTCCAAAATAAAAGCCAGACAAGTGTTTAGACACCATATGGCTGCTGAGGAGAGTTGCTGGTTACTGCACACACACTCACTGCATACATATTCACTGCATACATACACACTGCATATACACACACTGCATACACACACACTACATACACACACACTGCATACACACACTGCATACACACACTCACTGCACACACACTGCATACATACACGCACACTGTATACACACACCGCATACACACACACACTGTATACACACACACTGTATACACACTGCCCACATACACACACACTGCATACACACACACTGCACACATACACACACACACTGCATACACACACACTGCACACATACACACACACACTGCATACACACACACTGCACACATACACACACACACTGCATACACACACACTGCATACACACTGCATACACACACACTGCATACACACACACTGCATACACACTGCCCACATACACACACACACTGCATACACACACACTGCATACACACTGCCCACATACACACACACACACTGCATACACACTGCCCACATACACACACTGTACATACACACACTCTGAATGGTTAAGGGGTTGTGAATATTTCTCCTCTCTGTGGTTCTCATAGTTTGTTCTTGTTTTGTTCCCGGTTCTGACCCGGTCCAGACTGGGTCCGGTTTGAGCAGAACCAGTGGCAGTGGGTGCGCCTACCTTTGCCAATGACCAGGCCGCACTTATCAGCTGGGATGGTGTAGGTGACCTCCTGTAGCGGGCCGGGAGAGCCCATGGTCCAATCGCCGCGACCTCTGACCCTGGAGCTCCGCAGGGCCGAGCCGAAGCCGTCCCGCTCCTGGACACCGGGGAGGGACGAGAGGCGGTTCTGACCCGGTTCTTGCATCACACGTTCCGACCTGGTCAGGCTTACCTGGGCCGTCTGGATGAGCTCGTTGATGAGGTGGACCGCGTGCTGGCAGCGCTCCGGCTGACCCATCACCATGGCAACGCGCTCCGGACTGATGCCGTCATCTGAACAGAGTCGGGGTCAAAGGTCAGAACCGCTTCCCTCAGCCGGGGGACGTTAAACATCAGACACAGAACCAGACATTCGGCTGGTTGTGGTTCCAATAATCAAGTATTGGAACATTGATTATTATGGTCTGGAGTGGAAGTTTGGTTTTTATGAAGAAATGAACGGTTCCCCGACCCGACTCCCACGGTTCCCCGACCCGACTCCCACGGTTCCCCGACCCGACTCCCACGGTTCCCCGACCCGACTCCCACGGTTCCCTGACCTGCTTTGAACTGAACTCTGACCCCGGCGTCGTTCTGGATCTTCTTGATCATCTCTCCGTTCCTGCCAATCACGATGCCGACAGCGAACCTCGGAACCGCAACCTGTGGACGTATTGGACCTGGGGTTAGCGAGGCGAGGAGATAGCGGTCCGGTCCGGGTTCTGGAGCCGGACTTACGTCCAGACTGGTTCCGCCCAACCGGCCTCCAAAGTCGCTGCGCCCGGACCGAAACTCCCCGTCTTTCTCCCGGATCACCTCCAGAACCAGCTCCTTGGCCGCCTGTGGATCAGAACCAGAACCGGGTCTAGCATGGAGGACTCCAGGTCCGCTCATACCAGGAGGGCTTTGGACCCGGACAGAACCTCTGAACCAGAATCTAAACACATCCAGACTCATGACTTCTGTAGCGTTCTGCATCAACCGGCTGCAACGGTGACCTTTGACCTCCTGCCATCTCGTAAGGTCCGTGAACCGGGTCTGGACCCAGAACCGGCTCAGTGTTGGGTTTTATGGTACCTGGACTTTGTAGGGATCTCCGGAGATGCGAAGCGGCTTGTCGGCGCCGGTCGGCAGCGGCCCATCCTGGATCATCATCATCTTGACCCCGGCCCGCTCCTGGCAGAACCAGAACCGGAGGCTGAAGGTGGGCCCAGCAGAACCCGTCCTCAGGCGGTCCGGTTCATCTTACCTGTAGCTGCTTGATGGTGTCGCCGCCGCGGCCGATCACCAGCCCCACCTTGCTGGCCGGGATCAGCATCTCCTGGACCGCGGCGCCGCCATCGCCGTCGCCATGGAAGCCCGGCCCGTTCCGACACCGCTCCACGATCTGGACCAGCAGCCTCTTCGCCTGCCTGGACAGAACCGGACAGAACCGTATCAGAGCCAGGTCCACAAGAACCAGAACCAGGCGAACCGGTTCTGGTCGGACCGGGTCAGCGCGCCGACACTCACTCGATGCTCTCCGGCGTTCCTGTCAGTGAACACGGCCGCTCCATCAGCCCTCCGCTGTCTGAGACACAAAGCAGCCATCAGCGGATCAGAACCGGGTCAGAACCGAATCCTGGGCCTATTCCGGACTCACCTGAGGCGATCTGGATCTTACATCCCGACTCCAGCTGGATCCTGGTGATCTGCTCGCCGCCTCTGCCGATAACTGAGGAGCAACAAGCAGAGAGGTGAGCGGGCCGCCACCGACCAGAACCAGAACCTCAGGCTGATACTCACTGAAGCCCACCATCCGGTCCGGGACCTTGTACTCCTCCGTCATCACCCTGCACAAACACACACACACACACACACACACAAACACACACAGGTGATGGATCAATAATGATCTCAGCTCACACTGAGCAATATTAGCAAACAGAACATGGAGCTGAGAGCAGAGGATTATGGGAGCCCTGCTGTCTGTGTGTGTGTGTGTGTGTGTGTGTGTGTGTGTGTGTGTGTGTGTGTGTGTGTGTGTGTGTGTGTGTGTGTGTGTGTGTGTGTGTGTGTGATCAATAGCAACCGCTCCTACCTCTGATGGCCCATGGCTGGAAGCTGGTTACCCACTGAGGAGAGAGAAGCCACTGATTAGCCACCGTTAGAGCTACTGATCCATTTCACTGACTGCAAAAAGGAACAACATGGTTGCTTCTGATAGGTTAAAGGTCACAGAACACACCCAAAGTTCTCGCAACTGAGGAACACTCCAGACATTCTCCAGGTTCGGTACTGTGCTAACAAGCTAACGGTGCTAACTACTCTCTGGAACCGGCCCAGAACCGGCCCGGACTTGGGCTGGACCAGAGCAGATTGTTGCTTTAAACCGTAACGCGCCGCTGTTCGCTGTAGCTTAAGCCCCGCCCACACAGGAACATTAAACTTTTTTGAACATCTCCGTTGTCAAGGAGATGGTGTTTTAGACGACTGTGGAGGCTATATGGCCTTCTCCCAAACTCTATGTTTAGCGCCACCTACAGGTCTGGAGGATTAAATCGTGTTTGGATTTAATTGAAACACAATTAAATCGATAACCTGGACATCCAGAAAATGTTTCTGGACATTCGTGAACCGTTAACATTTCAGAGCCAAAGATCTTCAGAAGCTGCCAGCTAACAGCTGAGCTCAGGTTCGAGAACCATCATGGAGGCCAAACATGAGGCGCGCTCCCTGGTGCGGCTCACCTCCGTCCTCTCCGGGTCGCTTCTGTCCAGAGTAGTACAGCGTGGACTCCACGCTTCCTGAGGAGCTGTTGAGGTGGGACATGGCTTCTCCCCCCATTTTCCCCACAATCTGAGACAAAAAGAGAAAACTCAGTTCATCATTGATGAATGTATCAAACCTGGAGATTTTACATAAACCGCAGCATTTTCCAGACTCAGTCCTTTTGGTACCACCTGATTCTAAGAACCGATACTGAGAAATTAGCAAGTTGGTACTTATTCATCACAAAATGACTTGAAAACACAAACGATAAATTAAAAATAAAAGTTACATTTGTATTTTTTACATGTTTTCTGAACATAAATGGCAAAAATTAAGTTCCTGTGTGAGTTGCATCGCTGCCCAGGAGGAAATCCAGCTGAAAAATGTCGGATTTGTTTTAAAAAACGTTTTTTATCAGTTCTTAATGCAACTCAGCGTCAAGTATGCCGAGTCTGATCAAACCCGACCATAAAACTAGACCTGATCTGGGATATAAGGCCCGTTTGGCCACTATTTGGTGGTTAGCTGTGGCGACACACCACGTTCACTGCTACAGTTAAACATCCCATAATCCTACGCTGCATCACTGTCATATGACCAATGCCCTGGGTAGCCAATCAGAGAGCAAGGTGACCAAAACATGGAATCCAGAAACAACACGGCGGTCCCAGCGGATCAGGAAGTCAGAAGGACGATGGAGAGGATTTTTCTGTTAAATACCGTCTGCTGCTGCCCAGTCGGCCATGTTTGTTTATTATTATAATAATAATTTTAAAAAAAAGTCATTTAGTTAACTTTAAATATGACAAACAAAATTTGTGAAATATGTAATATTTGAAAATTGGAAGAATTTGTTGTATTTCTGGCTCAGAACTAAAAACCAAATCAGCATCAAGAACATTTCTGACAGTTTTGAAAACGTCTTGGAATCCTCTTCCTCTTTCTGAGCAGATGGCTGACACTCCAACTCAGTATTGCCCCCTATGTGTCTGCAGTGAAACTACAGGTCTGAGTGTGAGGCTGCGACCCAACAGAACCAGAACCAGCCCGATTATAGTCAGCAGAGAGGAGAGGTTCTGATCCAGTAATTTATTGTTCTTTGGTGTTTTCCATGTTCAGATCATAAGTTTATAGTTGATGCATTTAGATGGGAATGTGAACCAATCACTCCGCTGGCACCTCTGATCTCTGAAGTTGACCTCAGGCGGATGGCGTGCGCCTCTTTTTTCTCAAACTGGACGCAGGTTGACCTGTATGGATATTTACATCAACCCTCCTGAGGAATCATACTTTACATCAAGGTCAGAGTTCAAACCCACTGTATTCACTCTGGTGGTGCAGCGCTACGTGAACAGCAGGAATAACGTTAGCGGCTTTCAGAGGAGCATTGATAGAGCGATGAGAATAATTTATCTTTGTTTCCATTTCAACAGCTGCCCAGCGTGTGGCGCTGTCTGCCCTATAAACTTCATGTCTGTGGTCCGGTTAGCGGTTCACGAACCAGCGCTGACCCCATGCAGGTTCAGCTGGTGGGGAGCTTCGCACTGGTTTTATATTATTTTTCAATGCGTCAAACCAGATCAGATGCTTTGTCCACTTAGTCAGACAGTCAACGAGCACAGAGGTCAGAGAAACTCGTCCCATAAACTCCAACAACCAGAACAGTTTCTGTGACTCTATTAAAACTCGACACAGAAATGTTAGAGCTGCTAAAGCCACATTAGCAGCATAGAATTAAATCTGTTTGTTGCTCATCTCCAGTGCAGCAGGTTGAACTCATCCTGCAGGGCCGGTCCAAGGCTGCATGAGGCCCGGGGCAGAACCTGCCCCAGGACCTGCCTGTGGGGCAGAACCTGACTGTGGGACAGAACCTGCCTGTGGGGCAGAACCTGACTGTGGGGCAGAACCTGCCTGTTGGGCAGAACCTGCCCCAGAACCTGCCTGTGGGGCAGAACCTGACTGTGGGGCAGAACCTGACTATGGGGCAGAACCTGCCTGTTGGGGCAGAACCTGCCCCAGAACCTGACTGTTGGGGCAGAACCTGCCTGTTGGGGCAGAACCTGCCCCAGAACCTGACTGTTGGGGCAGAACCTGCCTGTGGGGCAGAACCTGTCTGTGGGGCAGAACCTGCCTGTGGGGCAGAACCTGACTGTGGGGCAGAACCTGACTATGGGGCAGAACCTGTGGGGCAGAACCTGCCCCAGAACCTGACTGTTGGGCAGAACCTGATTGTGGGGCAGAACCTGACTGTGGGGCAGAACCTGACTGTGGGGCAGAACCTGACTGTGGGGCAGAACCTGACTATGGGGCAGAACCTGACTGTGGGGCAGAACCTGACTGTTGGGCAGAACCTGACTATGGGGCAGAACCTGCCTGTGGGGCAGAACCTGACTGTGGGGCAGAACCTGACTGTTGGGGCAGAACCTGACTGTGGGGCAGAACCTGTCTGTGGGGCAGAACCTGACTGTTGGGGCAGAACCTGACTGTGGGGCAGAACCTGACTGTGGGGCAGAACCTGTCTGTGGGGCAGAACCTGACTATGGGGCAGAACCTGACTGTGGGGCAGAACCTGACTGTTGGGCAGAACCTGACTATGGGGCAGAACCTGCCTGTGGGGCAGAACCTGACTGTGGGGCAGAACCTGCCTGTGGGGCAGAACCTGTCTGTGGGCAGAACCTGCCTGTGGGGCAGAACCTGCCCGAACCTGACTGTTGGGGCAGAACCTGCCTGTGGGGCAGAACCTGTCTGTGGGGCAGAACCTGCCTGTGGGGCAGAACCTGACTGTGGGGCAGAACCTGACTATGGGGCAGAACCTGACTGTGGGGCAGAACCTGCCCCAGAACCTGACTGTTGGGCAGAACCTGATTGTGGGGCAGAACCTGACTGTGGGGCAGAACCTGACTGTGGGGCAGAACCTGACTGTGGGGCAGAACCTGCCTGTGGGGCAGAACCTGCCTGTGGGGCAGAACCTGACTGTGGGGCCCCTCTTGCTGCTAAAACATCAGAACCTCTAGCAGCTTCTGTTGGATTTAATCTGGGAGATTAAAGTAGATTAACTGGACAACCTGAAAACTATCAGCTCTAATTACAGTTTATTAATTTATATTTGTGAACAAACAGATCAAACTTACAGCATCCAATTGTTGCTATGGTAACACAACAATCTAACTATGAATATTGTTCTTTTACAAAGTTAACTTGCCAACTTCTTAAAATCTTACATTTAAATGTTGAACTACTTAAAATATTTTAATTTATGCTGAAAAAATAAATGTAATTTAGCCGCATTGATCATCTCAGTAAATAAATGTTACATTTATGTTTGTGTGTTAAAATATGAGCATTATGGCCCCTGAAGCCCTGGGGGCCAAACGGAGCCGCTGAATTAATTTGGATTAATTTTTTTACATTTCTACTTAAAATCTTTAGTACAAAAACAGTTGAGCAGGTTTTCTGGGGAAACTCTCCATTAATAAACTGATTTATTGGTTATAGTTTAGTCCACCTGATATCTGGGAGAACTGAGATACTGAGTTTTGCTTTTCATCCACACAGTTAAATATAATTTAAAATGATAATTTATGAAAACTCTGACTCTGTATTTGTTTCTGTGAGAAAAAATGCGAAGACTTAAGGTCGAACATGTCACCGTGTGCGACAGATAATTAGTATTCACATATCGGCTTTGAAACGATTCCAGATCAACGTCTGGATTCATCATCTTCATATTCTAAACGAAGCTCCAGATGAACCTCAGCATTTAATTCCTAACAGGAAGTGGTTGTTTTGAAGCCATCTGATTGGCTGACAGGTGTTAGTGTGGCGCTACACCGCCCCCTGTGGGACTGGCATGGTTTAATCAACGGATTTGTTGATGTGGATGAAACTCGTCTGAAACCAGCGACGCTTTTTAAAAATGTTGGTTTCTGTGGCGACGACTGCCTGGAGAAAATAAACTGTTTGTGATTATAAATCAGATTCTGGTTCCTTTCTGAAGGAAAGAGGAAAAGAAGAAACTTTACTTCAGATGAGTTCAGTTGGTCCTGCTGTTAAGTTCCCTGTTTGGTTCTGGTACCGATTCGGCTCTGGTTCTGTTTTTGTGGTTCCAGATAAATTCTGGTTCTCCTGCTAAGAGTCCTGTTCTGGTCCCTATTTGGTTCTGGTTCCAGCTCGGTTATGGTTCTCCTGGTCTCTGGCTCCTTTTTGATTCTCTGGTTCTGTTTTCATGGTTCCGATCCATTTCCAGCTCCAGAACCTTCTCGCCCACTTCCACAGAGGCCCTGCTGAAACCCCCACCCCGGTCCGGGCGGATGGGGCCACCTGAACAGGTGAATCAGTGGGTGCAGCAGCAGGCCCCCCTCCCCTGCCTGTTGCATAACCCAGCCTACTTTCTACCTTCCCACCTCACGGAAAGCCCGCACAGAAAGCGGTGCGGGCGGGCAGGGGGTTCCGTCCTGCTGGCCGAGTCTGGACCCTGGGTCTGGACCCAGCCACCAGGTCCGGTGGCTGGGTCCAGAAGCACGCCGGTGAGCGGGGTTTCCCCTCCTCCTGCCCGCTCGGAACCAACAGGTTGCCCCGCAGACTCTCTGACACGTGTGGCCAAAACTTGAGTCCCGCTCCCCCCTTCACTTCCAGCCCGACTCTCCCTGCGCTCCGTTCCCGCTGACAGTTCCACAAACTCCCCTCAAACTAACTCAGGAACCGTGTCAGGCCCGGTAAACCGGACCGAACCGGCCTCAAGTCCAACTCCGAGCACCTTTCTGAGCTAGTTAGCATGCTAAGTGTGTTTGTGTTGACGGAGCAGAAGTTCGGAGCAGCAACAGCTCAAACACCATGAAAAGTGCTCCGACTCGGTCCAAACAGCGCGGCTCCGCCCGGAACCGGTGTGAGCTAAGCCCCAGAGGAGTTGTTACCTGCCGGGCCCTCTGTAAAACATCGACCAGGCCGTCTGACTTGAGCCCCGGCTGGTTCATCGAGGCCTGTCCCTGCACCAGCTCCGCCATCACCGCCGCCGTTAGCCGGATTAGCCGCCGCTGCTAGCAGCGCAGAGAGAGGACGAGCTGCGAGAAGGCTCACTCTGAGTCCGTTTCAGAAGCTCTCTGGGATCGTCAACATGGATACACACTCTTCACTCAGTCATTAAATATCCTGCTGAAATTAAATATATACATGATTTATGGTTGTAAATACAGCACCTAAATTCAGAATACACACGTCAAATAGAGTAAAAACGTAAACCTAAGTTAATCAGAAGAAGAAAACAAAAATAAATATAAAATAGAATGAAATACATGACGATCATAATACATTTTAGTGTATCTGAGTGTAATTATTGTGAAAATAAATAAGAAGTATGATTAAGAAAATACTTGATGTGAAATATTATTTTTTTATGTAACTTGACAAAACTATAGCATAATGTCAGTATGTTTGATCACTTTTGCTCATTTTATCTAGTCTATATATCTTTATTATCTGATATTTACATAGCCATATTATAGTATATTGCTATTTATGTGTATATAAAGGTTCAAGTGTGAACCTTTAGTTAGCATGCTAAGTGTGTTAATATATTTTCATTCAAATGTGTTTTTGTATCTTACATCTTGTATGTTAATGCATTTAGTTTTTAAATAATTTATCTGTAAACTTTCCAAAATTTAAAATCTATTACATGTTTTTCAATATTTTTAGAATTTCTGTAACTGTTTGACATATTTTTAAAAATTCTTTCATACAAAATAGCTTGGCCTTATTTTTTGTCAGCATTTTATAGAAAACAGAAGCTTTTATTTATTTATGCTTGCATTGTAATTTTTTACATGTAGCTTCTGTAAAACGTAATAAATAAAATATTGTTTTATGTGGACAGTGTTCATAACTCCCAAAGTCAACAGGTGTTGACTAAAGAAATAGTTGGAATCTGTTTGTTAATCTCTGGATTTGACTTGAAAATAGTCATTAATAACACTCCAGCATTAAACATAATCATTTATTGTTTATTTTTTATATTTATTTGTTTGTGTTTGGTTTAAATTTAAAAACAGATTTTTAAAACAAAATCTATTTTGCTAAACTGTGGAGTGACTCCTTGTGTTCTTAGACGATCTCTGTAATAGCTCAGCTGTTGACAACTCGTTGCGCTGTTTCCACTTCCGCGTCGAGTCACGTGTTCGAGCCAGCTCCACAGGTGGGGAGAGCAGAAGTTTGAGCAGCAGAAGGTCGGCCCCCATTCTGTGCGGCGGAGTCAGTCAGTCTGTCTGTCTGTCTGTCTGTCTGTGGGCTGAACACTAAACCACAGGGTTTAGTGTTGGATGGATAATGGATGGATGGATGGATGGATGGATGGATGGATGGATGGATGGATGGATGGATGGATGGATGGATGGATGGATGGATGGATGATGGATGGATGGATGGATAATGGATGGATGATGGATGGATGGATGAATAATGGATGGATGGATGGATGGATGGATGGATGGATGGATGGATGGATGGATGGATGGATGGATGGATAATGGATGGATGATGGATGGATGGATGGATAGATGGATGGATGGATGAATAATGGATGGATGGATGGATGGATGGGATAATGGATGGATGATGGATGGATGGATGATGGATGGATGGATGGATGGATGGATAATGGATGGATGATGGATGGATGGATGGATGGATGATGGATGGATGGATGGATGGATGGATGATGGATGGATGGATGGATAATGGATGGATGATGATGGATGGATGATGGATGGATGGATGGATGGATAATGGATGGATGGATGGATGGATGGATGATGGATGGATGGATGGATGGATGATGGATGGATGGATGGATAATGGATGGATGATGGATGGATGGATGATGGATGGATGGATGGATGGATGGATGGATAATGGATGGATGATGGATGGATGGATGGATGATGGATGGATGGATGGATGGATGGATGGATGGATGGATGGATGGATAATGGATGGATGATGGATGGATGAATAATGGATGGATGATGGATGGATGGATGATGGATGGATGGATGGATGGATGGATAATGGATGGATGGATGGATGGATGATGGATGGATAATGGATGGATGATGGATGGATGGATGGATAGATGGATGGATGAATAATGGATGGATGATGGATGGATGGATGGATGAATAATGGATGGATAATGGATGGATGATGGATGGATGGATGGATAGATGGATGGATGAATAATGGATGGATGATGGATGGATGGATGGATGGATGGATGGATGGATGATGGATGGATGGATGGATAGATGGATGGATGGATGAATAATGGATGGATGATGGATGGATGGATGGATGGATGGATGGATGGATGAATAATGGATGGATGATGGATGGATGGATGGATGGATGGATGGATGGATGGATGATGGATGGATGGATGGATGGATGGATGGATGGATGGATGATGGATGGACGGATGGATGATGGATGATGGATGGATGGATGGATGGATGATGGATGGATGAATAATGGATGGATGGATGGATGGATGGACGGATGGATGATGGAACACTAAACCACAGGGTTTAGTGTTCAGCCCACTAATATTTATGTCAATATCTTTAGTCTGAAATGGTAAACAGGTTATTCTGTGCATTATAATACAAACCATTATAGGAACCAACCTGTTCTTTAGAGTAAAGCTGGTCTGTGTTTAGAAGTTCTCTAAATTATCTATTAAAAACCTGCAACAGAAAACAACATTTATTTGTGCAGAGTATTTCTGTAAATTTAGATAAGGATGCATAAAAATTAGCATGCTAACACCTCAGCTCAGATGTTCTTCATTTTTCCCATCAGCCACTTTAACTTCTGGATGATAGACATTTGTCAAGATGGCTGGCATTTTTTAACCTCTTAAACTAATTATTCCCATTTCCATGACTTGATTAACTGGAAGGAGACAGACTGAGAGGCAATTTTAACAGCTAGCATTAGCTTCTGCAGATTTTTGTGTACTTAGTGGTTTAGTGTAAACTTACACTTTTTTATATATATGTGTTTAGCAGTTTAGCATTAGCCTGGAGTCTCTGCAGCTGGATAATGATGTCTGGTGAAGAGCCTCTTGCTGGACATCAACAGGAAACACTAACAGCCTTAAAGTGGCATTAAGACCAGCTGTGTGTGTGTGTGTGTGTGTGTGTGTGTGTGTGTGTGTGTGTGTGTGTGTGTGTGTGTGTGTGTGTGTGTGTGTGTGTGTGTGTGTGTGTGTGTGTGTCATTATTGCTTCTTGAGTGCAAGAAAAAGATCAATGATGTGTGTGTGTCAGCTGTGAGGATGTCTGCCTCTGTGAGGACCGCTGTGAGTCTTATGAAGACATGAACAGCCAATCAGAGCGGCCATCGGCAGGCAGTAGCCAATCGGAGCACCTGCTGCCAGGAAGCAGCCGCAGGTTCTGGTCCTGCTGTAATGACCGGCCCAGTTCTGCCAGAGATTCGGGGAAACATGAAGCAATAAAACCAAAATATTGCTGAAGGAGCAGAGTCTGGTAACCATGGCAACTCTGACCATAAACCTTAAAGCGACCAAAACATTTTTTAAAAACAATTTTAATTTTTTTAAAACAATTTTAAACGCTGCTGGGTGGCTACAACAGTGTCACGGCGCTCTGTTTGTGTCAGACTTTGACTAGAACAATTTCCTTTTCTGTCATTACCATGGATAATGGATGGATGGATGGATGGATGGATGATGGATGGATGGATGGATGGATGGATGGATGGATGGATGGATAATGGATGGATGGATGGATGGATGGATGGATGGATGGATGGATGGATGGATGGATGATGGATGGATGGATGGATGGATGGATGGATGGATGGATGGATGGATAATGGATGGATGGATGGATGGATGGATGGATGGATGGATGGATGGATGGATGGATGATGGATGGATGGATGGATGGATGGATGGATGGATGGATGGATGATGGATGGATGGATGGATGGATGGATGGATGGATGGATAGATGGATGATGGATGGATGGATGGATGGATGGATGGATGATGGATGGATGATTGATGGATGATGGATGGATGGATGGATGATGGATGGATGGATGGATGGATGGATGGATGGATGATGGATGGATGGATGGATGATGGATGGATGATGGATGGATGGATGGATGGATGGATGATGGATGGATGGATGGATGATGGATGGATGGATGGATGGATGGATGATGGATGGATGGATGATGGATGGATGGATGGATGGATGGATGGATGGATGGATGATGGATGGATGGATGGATGGATGGATGATGGATGGATGGATGATGGATGGATGGATGGATGGATGGATGATGGATGGATGGATGATGAATGGATGGATGGATGGATGATGATAGATGGATGGATGATGGATGGATGGTGGATGGATGGATGGATGATGATGGATGGATGGATGATGGATGGATAGATGGATGGATGATTGATGGATGATGGATGGATGGATGATGGATGGATGATGGATGGATGATTGATGGATGATGGATGGATGGATGATGATGGATGGATGGATGATGGATGGATGGATGGATGGATGGATGATGGATGGATGGATGGATGATGGATGGATGGATGGATGGATGGATGGATGATGGATGGATGGATGGATGGATGGATGGATGATGGATGGATGGATGATGAATGGATGGATGGATGGATGATGATGGATGGATGGATGATGGATGGATAGATGGATGGGATGGATGGATGGTGGATGGATGGATGGATGATGATGGATGGATGGATGATGGATGGATAGATGGATGGATGATTGATGGATGATGGATGGATGGATGATGGATGGATGATGGATGGATGATTGATGGATGATGGATGGATGGATGATGATGGATGGATGGATGATGGATGGATGGATGGATGGATGGATGGATGGATGGTGGATGGATGGATGGATGATGGATGGATGATGGATGGATGGATGGATGATGGATGATTGATGGATGATGGATGGAT